GTGTGTGTATGGAGATCCACTTAGAGAAAGTAGTCTATCTACTTGCAACCCAAGAATTACAGCACGAGTCAAGATATAGTCTGGAGTAAAATAAGAATTTAAGAGGAAGCTCTTTTGTGAAAGCCTGACGATCAGATTACTTATTTAAAAAGTTCACAAGACGTAGGTGATACAAGTGTGATTAAATTATTATCACTTTTTTTAAAAAGACTCTTCCGGAGACTAGAATAAAATTTTATTCGTCAAAAAAAAAAAGGATGAATGACGTACAATTTTTAGCAAATTATTCAACATGTCGTAAAAATAAATTTTAACTTACTCTCGTACTAAATTATTTTTAAAACCAGTAGATATTGATTTTATTGAAAGAACTGTTATTTTAAGTTATCAATTCTTGTTTATTATTCCATTATTTTTATTCAGTTTTGTAAAAATATTTTAACCAACAAATACTGAACAAATAACAATATAAATGTTAATAATTTATCAGCTTCTGTATTATTGTATTAAACAATACTTTTGAAAAAATAAAAAAAAATCATTGTTACATAAATGTTTTTTTCAATATTTTCCCTTATTCAAATGTTAAAATTAATTCTGAATTTAATCTCAGAGTAATAATTTATTATTGAAGATAAAGTAATCTTAAGAAACATAAGTCTGTTGATGGTACCGATTAGCAAATTTAGTCCACAATTAAACTTAACTGGAATATTATGAAAATTTCTCAGAAATTCTCCTTAAGTCTCCCAAGTATCTAACTTAGATTAGAACAGGGAGTTTGTTGTCCGTGTACTTGAACTCACAATCCAATTAGAATCCGGACGTGAATCTAGTGTTGAAGTATCTAACCATCATAGCCACCAATTCGAATCGAGAATGACGAAGTGACTTTAAGCTGACAAGCCTATATACCTACATGTCCAATCCATATATATATATTTGGAGAGGATGAGAAAGGAAGCTTTGTTATGTGGACTGCTTGTATAATTCTGACTGTCGCTAATGTTTTCATGTACGATACGAATGAGAGAGCAAAGTCTAGGTCTAGATCAATAGAATTTACCCTGCTACTTGTATATACTAGCCTTGAAAGTCGAACAGACCAGACTCGATCAATTTGAGTTAATACGGTACCTCTATTTATGAGCTTTGAACAGAAAGCTAACTCTGGATTCACCAACTAAAATCATTTGAATGCTTGATACATATCAATAGATAGTAATCAAATGGAATACACTAAATACATCGAGATGACAACTATTTCTCTTGCTTTAGTTGTTTAAATAATTTTGTCATTTAAAATTATTGAAAATTTTTACTTCAGAAATTAGTTTTAATAATCGATTAAATAATTTAAATATTTATATTTCGTTTATTATATTGAAGATTCAAAAGTATGTCCAAACAAAATGAAAGGCTCTGGTGAACTGATACCAACAATACTTAGACTATTATATGCAATAATCATTAAATCCAGATCAATCCTAAATGCTATTAAATAAATATTTTATATGTATTCTTAGAAGAGTAATAAAATTTAGCCTGATTTATGATTATTAAAGATAAAACATGTACCGCATCGTTCACTCGTAAACTGAAAACAAGTAACCTGATCATAGTTAAAATAAAGTAATGATGAATTTTGTTCATACTCCAACAGAAACCATCTATATTTTTAATATAATTAATTACAATTGCCAGATAATGAAACCAGAAATTTTAACTGTCATGTTAACGAACTTTTTGGTGAATATTTTTTGCAGTATCAAAAAATATATAATTTACGGTGGATCGGAGTGAATGGAACTCGAAGGTAGAATAAATTTCATTAATTATTTTCATACATTTATGGTCTGGCGTTCGAATTTAAAGGATTACTAACGAAAAATGGAAATTCAGTTTTTGTCGTTCACAACAAGAGAAATTAAAAAAGGATGAAAAACAAGTAAATTAAAAATTAAATGTTTTTTTATCAAAAAATAAAAAAATTGAATTTAATTATAAAAATAGTATTATTCATTTATTCAAAAAAAAAAAAATGGAAAAATAATGAATAACTTTTTCATGATTTTAACTAACATTTTTGAATTAAATTTACTTCATTAGTTGAATTAAATTTAAAACTCTTTTCTATTTTTTATTATAAAAATATTTGAAAAAAATGTGATAAAATTTTTTGTTTCATTTCTATATCATGTCATCCCTTTTCCTATGAACATGAATAATTTTTAAAATAAATTTTCAGATTAAAAGAAAAAACACACTCACAATACAAGTTTGGACATGTGTGTATAGTAACAATAAATATTGTCTTCGTTCCAATAAAAATATAATAAAACTTTGGTCAACTTTATAAAGTTCTTCATGGCCTCTTCACATTTGCCATAGAATACTTTTCATCTTCTTCCGCTTTTGCAGAGCTTGACAATTGAACTTGATGTGAAGTATAAAGGCTTGAAGAAGAAGAAAAAGAAGAAGAAGGAGAAGAAGAAGTAAAAGAACTTGGTTGGCATAGTCTTGTTGTATACTCAAGCACGTTCTTAGCGGATGCCGTCGTCCCCTCATTACTTTTCAACGAATTAATAAGCAATGATATGTCTTGAAGAAGGGAACAGACAAGCAAAAGGGCACAAGTGGAGGCTCTTGGAGGTGTATGACACTCTAGTACTAGTCAGACTTCACCTTTCGTCTACCTCGTCACGTCTACATTTATTCTAAGTTGAAATATATGTACACGAGTCGTTTGTTATTACTGGTGGGAACGGACGGCGCTACATTTCTCTCCCTCAATTCTTCTTCCTTTCTATCTTGTTATTTTTCTTTTTCACTTTATCCTACATGAATCTAGAGCATTCTCTCTTTTACACGATAAACGATACCTCACACCGCTCGCGAGAACGCATTTGTTTACATCTAACTTCTATAATAGTAAGCACAGATTGCGGTCCGACGTTAAGAAAAACCGGTCGTGAGAGATTCCCTATAGTCACGCCCGTAACTTAATCAAGTCAATTAAATTCCGTGAGACAAGCACGCTTATATGAGCATGAGTTACATGGTGCTATCGAAAAAAATATTTATATCCAACGAGTAGGACACATTCAGGAAAGAAGTGTCTCTTCTAGAGAAAAACTAGTCATGAAGAAAAGCAATATAAGGTCAAAACATGATGCAAAATGCATTACAAGTTCATCATGGCACAACATAACTTTTTTAGACTTATTGAGACTCTTGAGACTTTCAGGAAAGAGATGATAAAAAAAATTGCTTGGAAAAAAATATGGTCAAATTTTAAAACTAAAGAATCTATGGAATTTATTAGCAAGAAATGATAGTAATTATTGGGTCGATTTCTGTTCGCAGATGATTCGTGAAATTAATCATTAACGCCGTACATCCCCAAGGGCAATCGGCGATCGACGGGCCTTGAGGTTAATTGAATGCTAAAAGATGACTTGTGATGTGATCCAGACCCCATAAATGGCTTGAAGAATCTTCATTTTATTACTTACAGACACGTATATGCACATATCAACATTATATTCATACTCTAAAAGAAAACGGGGAAAAAAATTAATGCAAGAAAACTAAGAATAAATGGACTGTACTTTTATTGAGTTTTTATTCCTGACTTGCAATTTTCCCTATTCATTGGTATGTACTTTCTTGACTAGATCTATCATTCTCGGAAATGTATTTGCTTTTAACTCCTGGAATAACTTCAGAAATGAAAAGTTCGTAATAAAAAGCACCATGTTGATAGATTGCTTATCAGATTTGACTTAAAAAATCCTATTGCACTATAATAACGAATATTTTCCAATTTGTTATGGAGTGAAAATGATTCGTAAGTACCGGTTAAGATATTCAATTATACAAAATATGCATCACGATGAATTTAAACAAAATTGACATAATCACATCAATTTTCTTGGGCATTCAAAGTTAAATGATTTTTTTTTGTGAATAATTGGAGCACTTCAGGCATCAGAATGCGATAAAATAATTCTGGTGATAATAAAGAGTCATAAAAGAGATTAGAAAAATTTCAAAACGCACATGAAACAAGTTTGTTCGTGATTTTAATTCGATATAATCAGTATTAACGAGTATAAAGCACGAACATTGACAACATTTGCATTGAAATTTTCTTCAAGCGTTTGTGCATGTGTATTGAAGTTTGAATAATTGTATATGTGTTTGTGAACAGTACGTTTAAATGGAACGTAGAGAGGTGATGGACCCGCGTGGAATCCTCTTAGCGTGGGCGGATGCATACACACTCCCGCTGTGCTTTCATGGATAAAGCTAATGCTTATGTATTGATCGTCCATTGTTAATTATCCACTAGTTGAGCAATATATCTGTTTTCCACTTTGTACTGATCATTTTCTGTTATAGATTCCAAAAAACTCATATATCATAAATTAATAATGAACAATTCGTGGTAAAGGACTACAAAAAACTATTCCAAGTATTATTTACATCATCATTCTAGTGTTTAAATAGATTTTAATGAATTTTTGATCTAATAGTTAACATTAATTATATCTAATAAAAATAGGGAGTGTGGATTTTAGGCATTATTTTCTCCATGACAATTAATCTTTAAGTAACCAGATAAATTAAATCCATTCACACCTCATTAACGACATTAAATCATAACTGTTTTATACCCAAACATTTCTATCAGCAAATTGGATAATTAAAAAAACGTTAAAGTAATATTTGTGACTTTAACCATAAAATGTAATTCTTGGTATTAAAATTCAAAATACACAATAAAATTCCGATACGACCAAAATACATGCAAGGATTTCTCTAAAGAGATTGTGAAATAAGAAATCATCTCCAATGAAATACTCCCACCCAAACAAAGATCCCTGGCCTTACAAGGTCGTCTGGTTTTGGCACCACGATAGGATACATATACGTGAAACTATATAGGTTGTTTTTAATTTTTTGTAATGATATGGAATGATAGTCCACAGACTTACCTGTCATCGTGAAGACGTTTAAGATCTGCCATCTCAAGCTCGAACTTAAATTTTGACACCTCGCATAACAAAGCATCGCGTTCACCGATGATTTCTGACAATTCCCTTTGTAACCCTTGAATCTCTGCATACTGACGCGCAATTACACGGTTTTTTTCTTCAAGCAAGGCCTCGACATCATTTTCAGACTTCGTTATGTGACTTTCAGTCGCTTGTTCAGATACACTCGGCGTAACGGCACTCATTGCGCTTTGTTTACCCTGTCTTGATTATTCTTTCACTTCACCACCTTTTATTCACCCTAAAAATTCAATTCAGAATATTAAATCTTGTTTATGTGAGCTAATAATCAAGTTGAACGCCGTACCGACAGAAAAACATTGTTTTTAAATTGATTTAACGGTTTTTACACCCTCGCGGGAAAATCACACATTTTTTCGTCGATAAATAATGACTTTTAAATTCAAGAACACATGATAAACACTTTGCCAATGACTGTTTATTCACATTACGGGTTGTAAATTCATTAGTTTATTGTTTGAATGTTTTTTTTGATCGTACTTTTTTCACGTAATATGAATGATAATGCTAAAAAAGTCACACCGTAGACAATGCTCGTAACACACTCGCCATCTTGGCCCCTTACCGCGAGGACCGCGTCGAACCAGTTCAGGGTCTGAGCTCCTTCTCCCCTTCGAGTTCTCATCAACCCGTGTGAAACCAAACGTACTGAACACTCGCGTGTGTATGGCGTCACGCATGCGCACTCAGTTTTTAACAAGTAGTTTTGAATTTGGCATTTCAATAAAGCGCACTGTATCAGATATCTTCTCAACTAAAAATCAATTACCGACTGAGTAGTTGAAATCTGTTATCAACTGTCAATAATTAGTGTCGTTCTAGGAATTTAAATTTATAACGTTATGATGTTTACACATTTTTGATTGTCTATTAATTTTTTTTTTTATTCAATAATTACTGTAGTTTTTGGAATTTTAAAAATATTATATAATTATAAATCTCTGAACAATAGGGAAGATAATTTTTTTACACCAAAAATGTTAACAATTTGTAAAATGGTGATATTTTTAAGTAAACAAAAATAATCAATGCAAAAAAAACTGTAGATATCTAATCGATACATTGTTATTACATTTGATTGCAGCAACTTTTATATTTGGGGTTTAAAATAAATGACGATTAATTGATAAAAGATAAATGTACATGATCCAACAATTTTACTATGTAATTATACTATCACAGTGATAACCTCCAACTAATCCTGCATACTGCACCGGATGCTACTATTATGGGCTTTATGTACTGCATATATTATCATTGTGCTTCAGTGCGTTAAAATTAATAGATAAACATATCATCGTCAGTAATGACCAAATTATCTGGCTATAAAAATTTGTATAAAAAAAAAATTGATATCTTTCTAAAAAGTGACAATTTAAAAATTGATAAGAGAGTACTCGACAATTGTACAAATAAAAAGATAAAAAAGAAGAGTAAGGTTAGAATGAGAAAGACTGATGTTGAAATCTTTTAATAATGCTTAATTAATCTACTTACACATAACATAAGCGTCAATTCGTCAGAAAATGATCACGTTTTAGTTATCTTCAAACGTGCTGCAATTATCACGTGCCAGACAAGTATGAAGAAGTTAAAGGAACGTAAGCAGGACCGTTCATAGACAGAGGGGAAAATAAAGTTTCTTTGGCACGTGCTTACCATGCTCTATATTCGCTGGACTTGTTAGTATCTTCGTCAATCTTACGAGATCAATTTAAATGTATCAGGAAGACGCGTGCATTGTGGTTTCATAAGTTATGCAATCTTTTCCTATGTTCATCATTTTTGCAGACTATTTTTACTGATTAAACCAAAGTTTGTGGCATACAATCTATGGATAGTATCCAATGTTAGAAGAAACCCGCTAAAACAATTTTCCAATACACTTTTGTTTCAACATCGTCAGACGTCAATTTATTTCTGTTATCACTCTAATTACAGTTGACTCGAAAGTACAACAGTTATTAAATATTAATTGAATTCACATTATAACATATCTTTTCTTTAAATTTATGATTCATCAATAATTTCATCTATTTACATCTATGCTGAAATATTTTTATTCAACTTCATACATTTTGCTAGTCATCTATATTCAACACGACAGATAGGTTTATCGTGACATAGAGCAAAAAGTTCAATAATAATCTTACTTCATGCGTTAAATTCGTGACAATAAAACAAATCACGTATTGACGTTGTTGATTCTAATTGACTAATTGTTGATGATTTTAAATACATCTAATGTTAGAAAAATATGAAGGACTCGCTTATTAAATATCATATTGACAAATAATTTTGTTGCAATCCATGACGTAACATGACATACTTAATCAATAAATATTCAATAAATTGTTTTTTTGTCCGTTTAAGTATTTTTACAACTTTGGAAGAGCCGTTAATTATAAATGATCAATAATGTCATACACAAAATGGTTTAATAATTTTTTGTGAATAATCAAAAAGACAGAATTTAAAAAAGAGGATCAAGGATCAGAAAGTTATCTACTATTTTACATTTTAAATTAATCAACTTTCGAACTTTATCAGGATGCTGTAAAAGTCTTTGTAAATTGAATTCATTATAAGTTAAGTAAAATGTCAATTATTAGCAATAAAATTGATACGACAAAAAATAATAAATTTGTATCTTTCAGATATCAGATAATACTAGGAAAAGCGGAATTAGAAGCTATAGCGTGATCTAAAAGTGTTTCATGGACCACAGAGATAGGAGCAATCACTCCGAGATTAGCTCAACAAACGATGGGGCTAGAGGGAATCTCATGCTCTTCACCATCCTCCCGCTCCCACCCTCACCTTGATGAGCCCCCTTCTCCCTCGGGCGTGTTTAAGGTCTGCAGAAGCAAAGTGTTTTACACCTAGTGTGCAACTTTGTGGCGTGTTCGTTGTACACATTGACTCTTTCGTTCATTGTCACTTCGTAAAGCCCCCGCAGGCATTATATAAAGTCACAAACTTCTAGATTAAGCTGCACTAGTCGACAAGCCGGTAGATCAAGTATCTTCGTGATAAAACTTGGACTATTCTTACTGCTTATACTCGAAAAGAAAAGGTAAAGAAAGAATGTATTAGACCGTAAACAGCTTTTTCATTTCACCGGAAGTCATCATGCTCTTTTCTACCCATGTTCTTTGCCCTTCAACTCACAATCGCTTCTTTTTAAGTCGGTCATTAGGTTACATCAATTGCAATTTATGATAAAGAGAGGGAGAAAAGGAAGATAGAAAAAACGTCGTTAAATAATCAATCTATCGTAGCATTAATTTTTTTTTTTTGATTTAAATGTTTTATCAATTTTTAAAATTATTGACAAAATTAATTCGTAAAGATTTCGTAAATATCCAACTTAAGCTTTAAAACAAATACTAACATTCAGTATTCAGCAGCGGGGGGCTATTATAAAAGCTTGCTCGATGAATTGCAAAGAGAGCAGCTGTAGTTGGAAGTTTAAACCAGACACTACTTGACTTTAGTTCGGGTGATCAGTTTCGTCCGGTGGACAGTACAAGGTATGGAAATTGGTAACGATTAAACATGTAATTACCATTGAAATATCATAGAACGTATTATCTATTTAAACAATTATTCTATTATTTCTCATATTGGTAATAATAATAAACATAAATGAATATTTATGTTAAGAATATACTATTTAAATAAGTTTTTATGATCTTTTTTCTTACAGAAAAATGAATAGTTTTATTGTGCTGTTCTGCCTCGTGGCAAGTATCCAGCAAGTTTACAATTTGCCCCAAGGATCATCTGATTATGAAGGTATTTAATTATTAACTCAGATGCAAGTGAAATTAAATATAAATTTATAACTAATTAGTGATAGCATTCATATATGAAATAAATTTTGTTTCCTCACATATTTTCGCTTCATAATACTTTTTAATATTTTTTTTAATTTAAAAAAAAAAAATAAAACTTTTTTATGGATAAAGTGAACACGACAAAAGCTGATATAGTAAACGATTAAATCATAAAAATTACAAAATCGCTATTCAAATAAACAATTTTGTTATTTTATTGTTATGACGAGATTTGCAATGGATGTGAATGTCATCTGAAATGAAAATATACTTTATTTATTCAATTTGTTGTCAATTCTCGTATTGCATTTTTTGCATTTAATGAAAAATTCATGGTTTAATCTAATTATTGATTTTTTTATTCTTAACAAAAGATAAAAAAATAGCAAAAAATATTCTTTACTTTGTAATTTTTTATTATTCTCTGATAACTATTCATTATTGTTTTTTTTTGTTTTTTAGATGTATCTTTCTGGTTAAAAAGTGCCCAGGAAAATTTGCAAAAAATGTTGGTGCAAAAAAACATTGAACGACGAGCAAAAAACATCATTGTGTTTATTGGGGATGGAATGGGAATGGCTTCCGTTACTGCAGGAAGGATTTTCACTGGCCAACGGAAGGGTCAAACTGGTGAAGAATATAAATTAGTTTTCGAAACATTTCCAAACACTGGATTCTCCAAAGTAATTAAACTTCGTTATTCAACATTTTCATTAATGTTTTTCCTCGTCTAAAAGAGTCATGTATAGTACTGTTTTTATAAAATTTTTCCAGACTTACAATATAGACAAACAAGTACCTGATTCTGCTGGTACGGCGACAGCAATATTTTCTGGAGTCAAAAGTCGATACAAGGTTATTGGTTTAGATTCGCGAGCTGCATTCAATTCTTGCGACGCAACCATGAACGAAAAAGGGAAATTGACAACCGTGGTCGACTGGGCACAAGCGACTGACATGGATACAGGTAAAATAGATAGCACAAAAAATTAATTTCATATCCATTTATTGTCATTGTAAAAAAAGAAGAATTAGAAAATTGAATTATTGTTAAAATAAGTAGATGATTACAAGATGAATGACAATAACTGCTATAATTTAATGTCGTACTGTATTCCGGTCTTGAGTCTACTCTCACGAGAAATATAGTTATTTTCTCACACAGTAAAATAGATGCTTGAAAGACGTATAGAATTCTAAGAAAAATGAAATGATTATTTTATCAGCGAATATAATTAACTGAGTTCAAAACCTTGGGATAAATTTAGTCTAATAGAAAGTAATTATTTTAATAAAAAATAATTAGCAAAAAATTTACAAAATTAACAGAAATATCGGGATATATATTACTACCATTTCGTTATGTCTATTACCCGAGTTCTCAATAAAGAATTAGTACCAAGTGAACCTTGCTTGAATTATCTATGCAGTGAAAATATATTCAATCATCGAGAGTTTGTGAGAGCCATGTCAAGGCCAATGTTTTACCCTGACTGACTTTACGCTCCAATGAAAGGGTTGTCATTTTAAATCATTTGTTCATATTTTTTTGCAAAAAATGTATTATTTTATATTTAACTGAAGTGGATAATATTTAATCTCTGTAAACAATGTTTGTTTTTTTTTCTCGTGAAAGAATCGTAAATAAATTTTTTACAATAATTTTTAGGATTTGTCACGACTACAAGAATTACTCATGCCACTCCTGCAGCTCTTTACGCTCACGTAAACCACCGAGATTGGGAATGTGACAGTGCAATTCCTCCAGAGTACAAGGATTGCTGTAAGGATATTGCTAGGCAATTGATTGAAGATGCTCCCGGCAATAAATTGAAGGTAGAAATTTGTTTTCAATTACACGTCTTAATGATAAATAAATTTTATTTCTTTCACTTGATTCTTTTCTTCGCTTTTGAGTGAGAAAAATGATTATCACAAATAAATGAAATAAAAAATTGTAATCAGTTTAAAATCTAATCAGTTAAGACTTACTTTCTATATTCATATCAATATAAAATGATGCGATCAAACTCCATTTATCTTACAAAAGTAAGTTTTTATTTTCTAAAGTTGATTAAAAATAATTACACGTAAATAATTGAACTGCTTAAATGTTTTAATACAAACTTATGAAGATGTAGGCTATCAAATTATTTTCAACAATTTTCAATGGTAAAAAAATTTTTACTTCAAACTCGAATAATTTGTCTGAATCAGGATATTTATAATTTGCTAAAATTTAAGAAACAATAACAGATAGATGATTTGAAGAAGTTCAAGGTTAAACAACAATTGCAACATGAGACTTTTATCACATATTAAATCGGACTTGTTTTATTGATCTTAATGACGCGATTCAAAGTATTTGCGTGTTTGTCAAACTTTTGCTATTAATGACAAAACATGACGTAGACCATATGTGGAATAAAATATTATATAAATTATATTCCACGAAGTGTCTGTAATAGATTTGAACAAAAGATGTTGAAATATAATTAACTTATGATGTCTTGACTTTTGATAAATTATAGCCAAGTAATTAGTAAATTATTACTATTTGTTTTAGAATTTATTGTAATTTTATAAGTGAGTATGTATATAACAGTACGTATCTAATCTCTTGATCACTGGTATGCTTATCATTTATGCGCGAATCACACTTGATCAAATACCAGTTTCCTCTTTATCTCTTATTTAATTCATTTGATATTAAGCGATAATAAAAATGCCAATCTAATAATAAAAAAGCGTAAGCTGTATGAAAATGAATTATGAATTTAAATCTTAAAATAAACACTTTCAGGTTATTTTGGGTGGAGGAGGACAAATCATGGGAACAAAAACGCCTGATCCTATTGATCGAGACACCTGTACAAGGAAAGATGGTAAAGATTTAACAAAAATCTGGCAGAAATTAAATCCAAGGGGGAAAGTTGTAAAAAATGCCGCTGAATTAATGGCTGTTGATATTCAAAATACGTCTAAATTATTGGGAGTATTTTCACCAAGCCATATGCCATACAGTGAAGTAAGAACTGATGAAACTCCAAGTTTAGCAAACATGACATTACAAGCAATCCGAATGTTGAAGAAAAATGAAAATGGATTTTTCTTAATGGTATGTTGAAAATACTGATAATTTAAGCATAGATAACTGATATTGTTTAATTACGATTAATTTAAATTTCGATTGGTGTTTAATGTCTATTTGTGTGATAAAATCTCATTCAATTCATTCTGGGAAAATTTTCTCGGTCTTTTCTGAAGACGGATGTATCAAGCACTTCCTTTGCAAACTGTCACGGCATGAATTTATAGTTTTTGAATGTCATAAAAAAACTGCTTCCTGTAAGTTAATGAGAACTTTTTAATACATCAGAGTAATTTAGTGTGCAATTTTAGAGCTCATTATCATTATCAAAAGAATATAAAGTAGGGGAAAAAGAAAAACAAATAACAAAGTAAATAATAAGATTGTTATGTCTTTGAAGCAAGTTTAAGTAATCATGTCGTAATGGTAATTTTATTAATAAAACGATTCCAGCGAAAAAAATAAACATCAATTATGAATTTATATCATTTATATATGTCTCCGTTTTATCATTTGATTATCTTGTTTGTGTAAAAGAAATAAATTAAATGAAGAATTTTATTCTTTTTAGGTGGAAAGTGGTAAAATTGATTTAGCTCACCATAAAAATTATGCCCAGTTGGCTCTTCGTGAGGTAACGGAATTAGAAGAAGCAGTAAAAGTAGCCCTGAGAGAAGTAAAAATTGAAGAATCTCTTATCATCGTAACTGCCGATCATTCTCATTCGTTCACAATGAATGGATATCCAAATAGAGGGAATGATATTTTAGGATTTGCCACTAACGTTTTAGATCACAAAGCCAAACCTTATGAAACTTTAACGTATGCTAATGGACCAGGATTTTATCATCATGTCAATAACAATACTAATTCTAGTAGTAATATCTGGCTGCCTGTTGAAGAAGATAAAACAAGAAATGATCCATTTTATCAACATTTAGCTACTTTTTACTTAAAAGATGATACCCACGGTGGTGAAGATGTTGGACTTTATGCTATCGGTAAGTCTCAGACTAGAGATATCTATTATTTGTATAAAAATGGTGTTATTGATAATTTATCATTTAGGTCCATATGCTCATCTATTCCGTGGAACTTTTGAGCAAAATTACATTAGTCATGTGATCGCTTATGCTGCTTGTTTAAAAGATTGGCCATCACATTGTGATCGTCATTACACAAAATATTATTATGACGTCTCAATGACGGATTCTTCATCAAGAATACCAGCATTATCTATATTTACGATAACCGTTCTGAGTTTATTAAGCATGTTGTGTCTTACTTAAAATAGAATTTTGATGCTTTAGCGGATTTTAAACTATTTAAATTATGAATAAGAAATCATTATTTTTTAGACCAAATATTTTGACATTGCAGGTCGATGCCGTTAACATTCGGGGATAATTGTTTTATTCTAATAAGTATTATTTTGCCGGTTTTTTGAATGAATAATTAAATAATAATAATCACAGTATGATAATTCAAAACAGGATCGTATGATTGAAATAAAGTATAATATATAAGTATTGCTGATTATGAATGATTGTTCGTACAATTATTTTCTTATAATGTATGTGTGTAACAAAAAAGTTTTTTATAAGATAAAATTACATGAACTTGATTAATTAAACTAAACAAACACTTAGAGAGTTACGAAGTAAATAAATTTTAAGTAAGTTTTTCATTTATAAATAAAAAAAAACCATGAAATATTAAATGATTTTAATGTGTACACAGACTATTATAGATGTTATAATTAATTCATCAAATTTTTACAATGTTTAATTAATAATTAAACAAGCCAAGTATTTAAAAATTAATAATACAGTTAACATATTTATTTCAATAAAATCAACAAACTATTTTCAGATATTATCTACAAGTAGCAATATATTTATTTTTAGTATAAAACAATCTTCTCAATTGATTTTATTCTATAAACGTACTTCCTTATTACCAGAATCAATTTACTTATAAACCTTTCACAATGCTGATGCAATAATTTTTATACATTAAAGGAACGACATCATCGCTGACGAAATTCCTATCAGGTTTTACAGCAGCAAAAGGATTCTTCTGAGGTTCTAATAACACTTCAACATCACAAATGGATTTAATTCTTTCAATGTCTCGTGGTATTTCAAATTCAGTATAGGATGTAACAACAACTGGAACTTTGGCGTAACAGAATTTTTTAATAGTTTGGGGCCAAGTGTCAGTACCATCAAATCCAGTGACTCTATATAATCCTGGATTAAACAAACATATGAGGTCAGCGTTTTTTTTATTTTCCGTATTATGATATAATTGTTGAGCATTAAAAGAAACATTAATTTTTCTTTTTGCAGATTTACATCTTCGACACATTTTAATTCTTCCCAAGAGATCAGGGGGTAATTGGGGCAAATACAACTCTGGTCCAGTAAATTCAATAAAAAGCCTCTTTAACTTCGGAAGAAAATGAAGGAAAAGTTTTTCCCAAACTCTTAATGATGCACATTCAAACTGAAACTCAGCACCAATCACATGAATCACTAGATCCTCTTTTAACTTCCAATCATCTATACTTTTTTGCAAAGCAAAAAGTGCAGTTAATGGAGCTGTTGCAATATAAGAAAGACTTGCATACGTATAGCAATCAATTCGTCGATAACTAGGACTATTCTCATACATGCTGTAAATCAAAAAGTCAAAATTGAAAGGTAGCTTTCGTGCTTCTTTGTAAAATACAACTGGAACATCAGGATCAATGTAGCCATGTTGATGTTGCATCAGCAGAATTTTTTTGAATACTTGAAAATCTTTACACCATTTTTTATGTTCTTGCTGATGATTGCTACAGTAGAAATCGATTTCGCAGTCTAAACAATAAGATAAATCATCTCCGACTTTCTTGCAAGTTCTACAAATCCTTGGATACAAGATAATCTCTCTTTCCCATAAATCCAGCCGCCTTTCCATCAATGCTTCAACTACATCAATTGTTTTTATCCGAAATGATCGATACAAATCAGGAGGTAGACTTTTTGCGAGAGAAAAACCTTTCATTCCACCACAAACCTTGGTGAGTACTCGACATAGATTTTCATGGTCTTTTTTATTTTGCTCTTTATGAATTTCAGAACAGTAAAATACCATTTTGCAATTGTTGCATTGAATTTCTTCAGTACAAGTATTCATGCAAGTTAAGCATAAATTGCTAACATAAACAAAACGAGGTCGAATATGAAATTCTAAAGTTTCTTCATCATCACTGTCGATTGATAAATCAACTCCAGCAGGTATAAGAGGTAAATTCAGTCTTGAATAGACATCCAAAATGCTTGTAGATAATGCTATGTCATCATCATTTTTTATCAATGCAGTAGAATTAATTGCACTTTTGTCATTATTATTTTCATGATTTAAATTTAGTTTATTAGAATTATTTTCTATTATATTAAGAGTATTGTTGCTCCTCTTGATATTTTTCTTTTTATTACGACCCATTTTGGATAGTTCTGTAAAAAGTAATTTGAAATCGAACTATTTTTGAATTTAAGATGTTTCACTACGAATGAATTAAGTGTAATTTACCTGTAAGTTGAAAACAGAAGAATTATGTATCCGTTAATTTAATTAAATATCACATCAATAAACATTTAGCAATTAAATATATTTAAAATAAATTCAAGAAATGCAACTTTCTTGGCGCTAGAAGTAGTCGAAATATATACTTAGAAGTAGTATGAAAGCTTGAAAGTGAAGACTGAGATTCTGTCCCCTGTCTTTACAACCACTGAAATAAGACTCTTTAGTAGAGAAGTATTTTGAGCCTGCGTCTGTGTACATACCGATTTTTTACTTGGCCCGGGCTAGATCTAATATGTTTTCATGCACAATAGATGAGCAGTATATTATCTTCTAGTGTTACGTAATTATTCTTAGATGAATGTTTATATATTTTATTTATAATTGTAACAGAAAAGAAAGCACTAGAAACGTTTAAATTCTATTTTAAAAATATTAATAATCAATTAAATTAAACTGTATTGTAAAATAATTGTATGTTGATTGTTGTTGATCATTCATATCCAATGCAGAAGTAATAATTATACTCAGAAGTAGATTTTATTATTCTCGTGCAGTGTACAACGATTACATTGTACTTCAGGATAATTTTTATTCAATTCTTCTCTTCGCGTAGGATTGGAAATCTCCTGTTGAAGAAAAAAAATTTATCCATCCGAAAAGATATTCGGGAAAAATGTTAATTAAATTTGGACTTGAATCGAGTTTAATCAAGGTTTTTAGACCATCAAAAACTTGAACCTTGATGTTTTCTATTTTAATACTTTTTAAATTAAGATTTTTTAATTTGCTCCAGTCATTAGAGTTAAATAAATTTAACAATTTATTGTAACTTACGTCTAATGAGTTTAAGTTTAAATTTTTGAATAAACTATCTGGTATTTTATCTGAAAAATTGTAACTGATGATAAAATTTTTAAATCCTTGAAAATTTAATATCACTGAGGCCTCAGGGCCTCAAAATAAATTTGAATAAAATTAAGGTGAAAAATAACAAATTGGAAACGACTTCAAGACTTTTCTTGGATCCCATAGATAATTAAACAAAATCATTTTATCAAACAATAAAATAATCTGTTAGAGCTGTTACAAAATATTTTTATGTAAAGATTAATACGATAAAATTAATTAGCTTGAAAACGAACTGTTACAAATATAATATAATATTTATATTTATAAATATAAAAAGTCTTACAGTATGTATTCTAATGAACTTTTAATGAGCCCGCTGATAACAATGTACATACACATACATATATATACATGTGTATGTTAGCTCAGCGCGCAATCGCCAACCGATAGTGTCGTTGACGTGTCGATTATTTAATATTCTAAATCATTTATAATTCAAATTATTAGTTGCAATTAACCAAAAAATATAAAAAATACAATGTTTTTTAACATCTAAATTGTTATATTAAAAATTCTATAACATTTCTACTCAGCATGATTGATTGGATTCTTATAAACTCAAGGTAACTAAAAAATGTTAGGTTATATTATGTTTATTGGTAATATTTATTATCTTGGCTTGTTTATTTAAAATTACTTAATTGGGACAGGTATCTAAAATAATTACTCTATCGGTTAATATATTTTTCATTTAAAATAAACAATTATTCATCAATAAATAAAATATTTATTAACTGTAAACTAGTTTGCACAATTGCATAAAACTTTTGTTGAGTTCTCATTGCGATGAATAGTTGCTAACTCTGCTTTTTTCTTTTTATTTATTTAGATGATAATAATGTGGGAACAATATAACAGAATGGTGAGTGATATTTTGATTGAGCATGATTCTTTTTTAATACTATTCAAACATCTTGGCATTTTGGCTAGCCGGTCTTGACAATCTATTTTCTCTGTAAGATTAAGTAAAATTGGCTACGACAAGACACCTTATACTGACTCCTTATTCTATAAATGAATTCTGTCGACATGAGCACTTTAGGTCTAGTTGTTTAATTTATTTCTGTAACTATCTACAGTACTTAAATCACTTTTAATTGGTTTAAAGCAAGTTTAAAGTTGGATTGTTTAATGTTCGGCATTAAATCTATTATCAATACTCATTCTCACATATTATTTTGATATTAAAATTTATTGAAAACTTTTATTTCAATTAAAAAAGAATTCAAAATTATCTTTTTTAGTGTTTTGTGGTGATTTACAAATACCTTATTAAAGAAAATGAGCCATGCAGAGTTCAGCACTGAAAGAAAAAGTGAAATTCGTTATAGAAAAAAAGACGAAAAACATATTCTATCAGAGATGGTGGGTTTTGAGCATGTAGAATCTCTCAACAAGGCTTTAGCCGATGTATCAACAGAGTTAACAGTTTATTCAGAAGCCAGTGATACAGAAGATGATACCAGTTGTCTTATTTCTTCATCAGTACCACGTGTATCTTTTGAAGAATCTAAGAAAAATGGGCAAAAAATTAAACGTGTTGAAATGGAAGAGGACAGCGAAAATGTTTGGACTATCGCAGTCCAAATGTTTATTCCTTTTTTACTGGCTGGCTTTGGAATGGTCGCAGCAAGTTTATTGCTCGACGTCGTCCAAGTAAGTTGTAATAAATTCTCACGAATTTAAGTAGAAAATTTTTCGATTATAAAAAATGAATAAATTCTTTCAGCACTGGCCAGTTTTTCAATATGTTTCTGAAGTCTACATTTTAGTACCAGCTTTATTAGGATTAAAAGGAAATTTAGAAATGACACTTGCTTCTAGATTATCTACTCAAGCAAATCTTGGGCATATGGACACAAGAAATCAGCAGTGGACATTAATTATTGGAAATTTAGCTCTCATTCAGTGTCAAGCAATGGTAGTTGGATTATTGGCTTCTTTAGCAGCTGTGATTCTTGGTTGGATACCTGAAGCACAATTTGACATTAATCATGCCCTTCTTTTATGTGCCAGTTCTCTTATCACAGCGTCTGTAGCCAGCTTTTTGCTAGGTCTCGTTATGGTTGCTGTTATCCTCTTTTCTAAACGAATGAACATTAATCCTGACAATGTTGCTACACCAATAGCTGCATCTCTTGGAGATTTAACAACTCTAGCATTGCTTTCTTGGATTTCATCACTTCTCTATAATGCCATTGGCAATCAGCCATGGATAGCACCGACTCTGATAACTGGTTGCCTTCTTGTAACGCCTGTATGGGGTTACATTGCCGCGAAAAATCCTTTCACAAGGGAAGTCCTCGATTATGGTTGGAGTCCTGTGATATCTGCAATGCTTATTAGTAGCATCGGAGGGTTAATTTTAGACTATACTGTATTAACCTATACAGGAATAGCTGTTTTCCAATTGGTTATAAATGGAGTTGGAGGGAATTTAGTTGCTGTTCAAGCGAGTCGAATTTCCACTGCTCTTCATAAAGAACAGAATAGTGGAACTTCAAAGCCTCCTAAAATATGCATCAGTCCTTTTCATGCATTTCTAGCTCCTGGTAAATATTTTTCAAATATTAAATTATTTATCAGTAAATCATGAAACTAATTACTATTGATATTAATTTTAAGGTGGTCATGCACGAACAGCCAGGGTTTTGTTGATGATGGTGATCCCAGGACATTTAATTTTTAGCTACACCATCAGTTATCTTCGAGCCGGCCATACTTCTTTTACTGCCATATTCATTATTATATATTTATGTGCTGCACTTTTGCAGGTAAGTGTATTTATTTTACTGTGATTTTAAATTAATTAATTGAATCATTCTAATAATTTTATTATACTATAGGTTGTTTTATTATTGTACATTGCCCAACTGATGGTAGTGTGGATGTGGACTCGTGGCATGGATCCCGACAGTTCAGCAATTCCTTATTTAACTGCTGCTGGAGATCTTTTGGGAACTGCTCTTTTAGGTATCGCTTTCCATATTCTTTACGCTATTGGTGATGGAGATTCAGATGTTGGTGATTAATCTACAAGTAAGTTTATTGGTTTTTTATGTTATTTCATACTATACTGAACCATGTTCAGATTTTAAAATCTTGATAAAATTATGTAGAATTTGACAATCAGATGAAAAGTTTAAATATGAATTTTATTTTTTTTTATTATTATATAACTTAAAAATATAATTGTTTAATTTTGAAGTATAATGAAAATTAATTAAAAAATTTTCATCAATTTATAAGCTCTAACTAGTTAAGAGGAATAGATTTTTACAGTCTAATATTCTTATGTGATCAGAAATTAAATTTAAGAATAAATAAAATTATTTTTCCAGTATTTTTAATTTTTGTTCAGGATAGTAAAATAATTTTCGATATTATTGTTATCGATAAAAATTCAGGCTCAAAACATTTTGTACCTGAAATATCATTAATATGTAGTCATTAGAGATGTAATTATTTCATTGGGACCTAAAGAAAAACTTACAGAAAGCCTAAAATTCAAATTTGATAAAAAAAATATTGGTTTTAGATTTTATATAAATATGTATACATATATATTTTTTTAAATCATTTGAACAGTATTTATGTTCAGTAGTATGAATATTCATTAATTCGATGATATCAAAGTTAAGTAAAAATGTTATAGCATTATTTAAAGATATTAAATCAGAATTTAAGTTGTTTATATATTATCAATCTATGGTGCTAAAACATTGAAAGTGAGTTCCAAAAATCAGAAGTAATTATCATTAGAAAAAAACTTCTTAAATAATTACAGCAATATTAATGCTGAAAATAATTACTATAATAATGATACTTAAATTTTATATTATGTAAAATAAGAAACTGATCAACGGTAAAATTAGCTTTAAGTCACCGTTCTACACATAATCAAAGTGTGATAATCACACTATATGCCATTTAAATAATATAAAAAGGACAATGCATTTGATTTGTAAAAAGATACTGTCTTTTATTATATATATATATATATATATATATATATATAAAATAGATTTTCTAAAAATTTTTAATCTGATGCAATGAAGAACTTCGAAACTAGATTAATTAATTTTAATAACATCAAAAAAACTATTCAAATGTATTATAATTAATATTGCGCACGCTGTATATATAATATCGAGCTTATAAAAAATAGTCCTTGTTTATAAAACACTGGACATTACTGTGATTCTCCATTTTATACCATTTATTTAGGCCAGTATTTAAAGTTATCTAAGTTTATAAACTTATTGCTAATCATGTACTTTATATTGAAATAAAAAAAATATTCATATAATATTTGTAGAATAGTTTATGTGTAATTATTTAGTAAATAGGTGTAAAAATTAATGTAAAACGAAGCACAGGTGAGGTTTATTTTGAGGAATCATATTTAGTAAATATTCTCAAAATAACATTATCTGAGTAATTTTGTAGAATTTTGTTATTACTAAACTACCAAAATATTCTTTAGTTCTTGTTATCATGTAGGCAATAAATGATGCTTGTTTACGTACGAACAATGTACAAATATTATATATTATTATGATAAATGCGCGATGTAGATCGTCGTATCTTCCCGGTCTCTATTATTGTACACAATAGTCTCTTTAACAGATTAATAGACCATGCGTCAAGTTAGCCGTAAGGGTTCCTTTAACACCTCGTACATAATGTGTCACGCGTATGTACAATCGAGTTAATGTACACACAACATCGCTTTTAATCTGCAGTATACATGAAAGAGAAATCGTTATTTATCAACATATTACGAGGACTCAAACCTACGTCAATCAGATTCTATTTTGTTGGCTAAATTTAGATGAGATAAAAAAATTGTTCAATGATTGTAATATGAACATTCCAACAGTTATTTCCGCCCTAGAAAATTTTTATAAATTGATCAAATGTCACAAACAAAAATAAGTTTGAATAGCATTCATTGTAATGGATTATCATCCTGTTGATGGCAAATAGTATTCACAAAAAAATCTCCAACAAAATGACAATTAATTAAAATATCAACTTGAAGTAATATTTTTATTTTTACCAATAACATTGCGTAGAAGTAATGTTCTTAATATTTTTTTTTTTCGTTGACAGAATGATAAGATAAATTAAAAATCGATATCACCAGTCGATCTTTAACATATACTTGATTGTCAGAAAACGGACCTGTGGATTAACAAGGCGTCAAGTTTCTGATGTCAATGAAAAATTGTCACCTTAGTCTCCATGGACAAGAAGCAGTGAAGTATCACGGGAAAAGATGATGCAAAACGGTTTATCTAGACTGTCAGAGAGCTTTAGCGTGTCTCTTAGCAGACTCTTTGAAGTATACTCGACATGAAGCCGCTTGTCTCTTACGTTCATCTCGTTTGATACCACCTACACCCTTGTCTCTCTCTTTTATTTCACTCTCTCTTGTTCCACCGTGTAATCACACGCGGTCATACGTGCTCTATTGATATGATGCGTGTACCAGGCATATAACACGATGGTTATATGTCGTCTGTCAGTGCCAAATAACCCTGCCATCATGATGGAGTGACTACGCATATCCAGAACGTTTTTGAAATTATCATTTTTAATGTTTTCTTATATTATCAGTTTCTCCTGACTATTTCAGTACTTAAGATTTTTTTGTATAGTGATTATTGACAGTGTTAATCCATCATTAACTATTGTTTTAAGTTTTAACAGGATGGTAAATAAAATTGATCATAAACAAATCTGTAATGAACAAAACTCTCAATGCAAAATGGAATACATTACGGAAGCATCATCATGTCTTGCAGAATTTATGACTTGGAGCTGTTGATTATAATTGCGTTAAAAAATTTATGCTCCAAACAAGAGTGAAGTGATTTTTTATGCTTTAATCAAAGTGTTTATCAATGTCATAGTTTTTATTATAAATAATATGAGAATTTTCAACAGTTACTTATTTAAAAGTTTTTACAAAATGATCTTTTAAATATTAATTTTATTATTTATCGTTACAAAATGAAGCCACCTGGATCACAAGTTTTTTTAAGCAGCTGACTACTGGCCAGTGTAAGTAAACATTTATTGAAAAATTTTAATGTAAAAAAATGATTTTCATTACTATTTTTATTTTGATACTGTAGTATAAACAAATAGAACTAATATTTGACATCAGTCCACGACGTATAATGATAAACGATTATTTTGAAATGGTTTTATTAAATTATCTAGATACTTAAGTTTTTCTATTGCTTGATATTTTAAATTTGTCATAAATCCAAAACTTAAATTAATTTAATTTAAACTTTTTAGACTTCGTTAAGCTTTGAAATCAAAGTAATATATTATTATAACGATATATTTTTAATCATGAAAAGAATTGGAGATGTTTCTTATTCATATCAGTAATAGCAAACATTACATCTAAAATCCTACGAATTCACAGTCACTACGCTGTCGTAATATTAGCAAATAAAATGAAGACATCACTTTTAGATTCTTCAGTCGCGTTTTGTCGTCTCTAAATATAAAACTAGATAAACGATTTTTCATTATAATTGAATACAATGATTTTTCTTGCATTGAAATCTAAAACTGCCAGCAATAAATAAAGAAAAATGTACTAAATGTATTTTATTATTTTTATTTGTTTAGTTGATTTATTGAAGAAAACTAGAAATCATAAAGATGGAGAAGGAGGTGTTGAACCATCGTTCTCCAAATATCAATAGAGGCAGGAGTCAGTCTTTAAGGTAAATGATCTAACGTTTTATCATAATTGACTTATCATGAATTATTTTTAGATTCTTACAAATTACTCTTTGAAATTAAAGTGTAAAAGAATAGTGTAAACTTTTTCGTCAACTCTTTAAATGTTCCACGTGCTACCGAGCGAAATAACTCGGCTCTCGGTGGTTCACAAACGGCCCTGAATACAGTGACAATGTCAATTACACGAGGCCGCAAGTCTGTCGCTGCCACAGAGAGTTATACACCACTACATCCAGTTTATAGGCATTTAAGTAATCATTTGTGAGCTAAACTATTTGCCCTCCCTTTTGGTTTTACTTCTCTCGATCATTCAGAGTTGCAAAAAGCATTATCAAGTGAAAATCTTGATTAAAAAGATCCTTTGATCTAATCAGAATTGATAAAATTTCATTATGACTTAAATTTAATATTACAAATCATACAAATGTATCATGGTAACATTGATTGTATTATTTTATTCTGATGGTAGCTGTTTAATGATAAAATGGTTACTCTTTTAACGACAACCTGACACTACTTCTAATAATAATTTATCAGAAGGAATAAATTTATGTCTACCAGGAAACTCATAACGACAAGAGATTTGAACTTATATATGGAGTAAAATTACTCTTAGAAAATTACATCGGCTGAGAATGCATCTTGATTGCATAATTTTGCTCTCCAGAATTTCGATTTGAAGGGACAATGTCAATTCTAAATATAGACTATGTAAATGTCAGCACAAATCTATTAGAAACTTTTCTTTATTTTTTTTATTAGATTTTCATTTTATGAATGTATCAAAGAAACATAAAAAATGAACACATAGCCAAGTGTTATATAATGAAATAATCGTTTTAGGTAGACACGTGTTAACTGCTAAAGTTTTTTACTCTGTTTATTGTGGTCTCATTAATTGTTAATTGAGTAAATAACAGCTCAGGTAAAAGAGCAATCAAATTCATTGTGATTCGTAGTCTATTTTATCTGTATCGTCAAAGACAATTATAAAATTATATCTTGAATTATTAATTCTACATTGAATATGAATGATCAATGAAAATCAACATGCAATTATTGTATATTACAGTTCAATTAAATTGATTATTAATGATCGATACTACTAATTACGTTTTCATGATGGACATAGAGAAAAAAGTGGTCTTGAAAGTTAATGAAGAGAAGATAATCATAACAGACATGTGTATAATTCAAACATTACGTTGTTTCTAACGAATCATTTGAGTTATGATAATGGAAACCAGAAGGTTACTCGTTCAAAAGAAGAAAAATATTTCTATCAAAAGAATTACTATCAAAATAAGGTAGTCTTCATATTTTATTAACCGTCTACATATCACATGTAATCAGGAAAAATTAATTAAATGATAAATTTTCATTGAGATTTTTATAGAATAAATAACTATGAATTGTCTTGAAGTTAAATGAATGGAAGTTGATAGAAAAAAATTCAATCATTAATATTTATTATACTATAATAATTAAAAAATCAATGAAGTTGTAAATGAGATAATGATAATGGATAGTATGAAGCTATTAATGGTGGGGAAAAAATTGAAACTTGTTCAAGATCTGAATATTTAATTATTGTGAATAAATAAGAGTGCATAACTGGAAGGATTTAATAAATCATTGATAGAAGACTTTTATAATTCTTATACAATTGCGTGTTTGAAAATAATCATGGGATAATGATGAAATTAATCGTCTTGGAGTTTTGTTTGATTAGTAATAACTGAACTACATAAATTATTTATTTAAATCAAAAAAACTATTTCTTGATCTTTTTTTTTGCAATTGAATAAACCACTTGGTGTATTGCTTTATAAATGATAAAGTATCATTTGAAAAACAATTATTGAACTACATTCAGCTTCATTAAATATTGTTTTAGCTCTCAATAATTCTCTCAAGTTTATCAGAAAATAGGAGGTTTAGTATTTATTTTGCTGTATTTTTTTATAATGATTGAAACAGTCAATAGAAAAGAAAATGAACGTAAATCTTTGAATCTAGAAACAAAAAGTTCTTAAATACCATTCAGGAATGATAGTTTCACTATTTTTCATGAAGTTGGATAAATTAAAAAATTATTTACATTTGTAAACTTTTTCAGTGATAATTTTATTTTTTCATGTACCTTAATTCAGTCAATTGGAAATAAACTCCTACCAAAATAACACTAAATCCAACAAATGGATTGTATGAATGACTGAGAGAAGAAATGGATAATAACAGAAATTTAAACTCCCTCTGTTTAGTTAAATGACAGATTAAGTTTCCCCGGGTCAAAGGCAAAACGATTGTAGGTCAGAAGGGCCGCAACCTTCCATCAGGTTTGATCGTTCCAATTCGACTGTTGCTTGCTATTCGCGGGTCGTTGACGATCATGAGAACGAAATGCAAACGTTTAACCGGGTAATCAGAAAAGTGGGCCTCCATAGATGTGACCTAGTCCAGAAGTTACCAGAATACAAATTGCCCGTGTCACTACTCACTATAGTAAAGTTGAGAGCTTAATATCAACCAACTACAACTCTTTGCTCTGACTTGTACATTATATACATGTGCAATGTGCACGATGTTATGACAAGATCGTATCGCCTCATCAGACGATCAAGTAACTGCGTTGAATCAGTGATAAGAGCCTACATTAGACCACATAACAATGCTTTACTTTTGTAAACATTGATGTACCTACCACGATTTCATCACCTTTTCATTCAGATTTTTTAAATGATTTCTTTTACCAGTTATCATTATTAATACAATCAAGAAAAAAATGCCATGTTGCTTTTATTGATTAAAAAAAAAAAGTTCAATAAATAAATTTATCAAAAATTCAACTATAAAAGCTCTATCAACTTTATTGTTCTGGATTTTCCATCCATACTCTAATTCTCTGAGGGTTCCGATGTTCTTGAAATGTTTGAAAATCGATAATGTTGATTAATGTGATACTTTTGTTAACTGAAACCAAACTTGTGATGGAATCAGTAGATGTGTTTTTCATTTAAAATATTGAATTATGTAAAACTAAAATTAGTAAGTAAATATACACGGCAGATTTAATAACGCAAGTAAATTAAATGAAATATTGGTCACGTTACGGATATTATTATTTTTATGAACAATAATTATTATTGATAACACGTGATGATTATATAAATCTAGGACATATGAATTTAGAGATGTCTATTCTGAAACAGTGAACAAATGTAAGCTAAATGACCTTTTTCAAATATCCTTCATGACCCTGCAAAAAGTCAAACATTATTTATGGATCAAGAAAGCATAATTTATATGTTTATCCTAGTTTTTATGGCCTTCTTAACTGGTTTAATTGTTCAGTAATTTGTCATTAAACTTTCATGTGATGGAAGGACATAAAAAATTAAATAAAAAGTAAATATAATTAAAAAACTATAAAAATAGAATATCAAATTAAAGTATCATAATAAAGGATGAATGGTCTCTTCTATAGTTGGAAGAAAGTAAAAATTCATAGTATCATATTAGCATATTAAATAAAGTCCCACGCCTACTCTGCTCCTGTCAAGGACGTTTTAACATTTTCATTCCTGGCAAAGAGACGCAGAGAAGAGGGAAAGTTGTGAGGGAGTTCAAACGTCATTCGTAGGCGGCAAGAATGTATATACACCGAATAAAATGAATCGATAAGAGTGCGCTTGCTCGATGTAGCTTTACTCCTCCCGCAAACTAGACTTGTCTAGACTGGCTCAGGGATGCTTTCAACATATCATCGTCAGTCGCGATGTAACCGCACCATGAAACGGCCCCGCAAGTGGCCAACGGGGAAAGACCTTCAATGTTTGACAGTTACAAACGAAAAACTAACAGTAGTTGGAGATCAACATCTTCCAGGAGTCATTCTATTTATTGATTATTCAATCAATCAGACTTAAGCAGCCAAATTTCATTCAAGAAATTTATAAATAGATCGTTTGACATTGAGGTGAGATTTTACTGTACACTTGGTTTCAAAATCCAATGCATCTTTGATTTTTGCTCAAGTATGAATGAATATTTAATGATTAAGAAAAAAAGCATGAACTAAAGTACTAAGTATTGTGTGTATAGAGTTATTATTCTTAGAACTAAGTATAATACAACCATTTAGTGTCAGGTTTAAATATCAAACTACTCTTCATGACCACAACCCTGACGCCATCGGTCGAACAGTTGCGACAAGTCGTGCAACTGTACACCACGTGTCGAGGCTCCGCATGGTCAGTAGGCCACATCAGCTCTACTTGCTAATCTTCCACCCTTCTAGTAGCTTCTTTATTACATAGCAGTTTCTGAGTAAAGAACCCTCTTGAAATATTTAAGCCTGGAATGTTCTATGCTGCTCCAAAAAAGTATAAGCTCTTCTTGAAATACATTATTCTCATGCTTGAAAAATATGATGTTTAGTTGGGAAATATTTAATGAACGTTGATGACCATGTAACTAAATTTAGAATAAACTTGGTGATAATTATTTTATTATTTTTAATGCTAAATGAGCTGGTTATTAAAAATAGTAGACTATGAAAGAATAGGGTAGATGTACTCTTTGTGCTTACTTTGAAGGTTTCACTGATAATCATTAGAGTATGAATGAAAAAAAATGCCAAGTCAATACAACACAATACACTCTTCAATATCTATATGAACCCAAAAACTATTGAAACTATGCCAATAATAGAAAAAATACTAATTCATTGTTATGCTAATCATTTAGAATTTATTTAATTACAAATTATAATATTAAAGAACATAATATGCTGCTCATCTGGAATATCATCAAATCTATCATCATTAATTACAAGGACATGTAAATGTTTAAGTAGAAAAGAATAAACTTTGTCATAAAGTTTTTTTATCACTGCTATAAACATTTTCGTCATGTTCCTCATGATTTATACGTTTGAAGATGATTATGTTATGAGTTATAAACAGTACAGGATTAATATTCTGATGTAATCACATGGTACCTATGCTATCGAGTATAACAGCAGACAAATTTTCTGTCTTGCCGTCGAATATCTTATCATTTTACCCAGGAGACAACAATGACTATATAATTATAAGCTTTCAAAGTAAAATTTCCATTTGTAAGATCATGAAGACAAGTCAAGTGCATCAACCACTTAAGCAACCACAATTGATTAAGCATCAAAGTCAGATCCATGGTAGTAACACAATTAAATCAGAAAAGTATGCGTTCATAAGTTTAATTATCTTCTGCTCTCGGTTTAATGAATGTTCCATTAGGATATTTGATTCCTAATTATTGGTAGACATGAAATATAATAAAATTTTATTTGGTTGATTTCAGTGGACCATGTAAAGAACCTCTACTGCCTTCTAGCAAAAGAAACTCTTATAGAATGACGCCAACTGGGGGACGTTCACGTACCGTCTCCGAGACGAATGCGACTGCCGTTTCAACACCACTCACATCAGAAGATTGTCATGAAATAACAATTTTAGATGAAAATACTGATGCTGGACGTTTACCGGATGTTGTAGCTGAAAGCAGATTTTGTGATGACAGTCAAGAAAATTATGAATCTTATCTCGCAATTACAGTTCAAGTTTTCATACCTTTTCTCATCGCTGGGCTGGGAATGGTTGGAGCAGGTCTCGTTCTGGATCTCGTTCAAGTAAGCATACTTTATCAAAGCTATTAATTTAATTTAAAGCCACCAGTTCTTTCAATAAAAAACTATTTAGCTATAAGTGAAATTAATTATTGACATTTTATTTTTTTTTTTAGCATTGGGAAGTCTTCGAGAAAGTAAATGAACTTATGATCCTAGTACCTGCATTATTAGGATTAAAAGGGAATTTAGAAATGACTCTTGCCTCAAGATTATCAACACAAGCAAATCTTGGTAATATGGATGCTCCTAAACAGCAGTGGTCGATGATTGTTGGCAATTTAGTTTTAATACAGGTAAAATAAATACAGTTATTATTTATTAATTATTAATATGTGCATTAAATCATCACTATCAGTTATATTTATTATGAAAATGTCTATTGGAATGTTTATCAACGGCGCCACGATTTTACATTATGTATTCATGGTCTGTGACGTTTGATACTGTTTGCGAACATTCTTATTTCTCGAGTGTGAAATAAGGTGACAATGTAGTAGTACAATAAGCTTTTAGATCTTCCTTTTCATGTTGATATACCTTTAAAGTATTTTTACATTTATTTTTAGCCTCATCTGTAGTAAGATATATTCCCGACTTCTTCATCTCATCTTCCTTATTTTACTCTTCTCAGTATCAAGTGATTGAATTACTTGTGTATTACTTTGACCCCTCCATAAATTTGAATTTTTATCATCTAAAATTAAATTCAAATTAAACTTCATTCAAATGCAGTAGAATTAGACTAAACTATATAGTATTATGTACATAAATTAGAAAAATATTTTAAGAATCAGCTGATAAACTTTTTCATTGCTATATTAATGAAAACTTTCTAATTTAAACAATTATCATTATTAAAATAATTGTTAAAATTTTTTGTTTCAGTGTCAAGCAATAGTCGTTGGTTTCTTAGGATCAGTAGTAGCAATAATGATGGGAGCATTTAGAAATGGTACAGTCTCGTTGGATCATACATATCTTCTATGTGCTAGTAGTTTGGTAACAGCATCTTTAGCTTCATTTGTCCTGGGATTGATAACAGCTGGTGTAATAGTCTTCTCTCGTCACTGTCATATTAACCCTGATAATGTAGCCACTCCAATAGCTGCAAGTCTTGGAGATATAACATCTCTTGCATTGCTCTCTTGGATTTCGACAATACTTTATGAGTCCATTAACAAACAAGACTGGTTAGCACCTCTTGTAATTGCATGTTACATACTTGTTACTCCTCTTTGGGTTTGGATAGCTAAACGAAATAAATATACCAATGACGTTCTCTATTCTGGATGGACGCCTGTTATGGTTGCGATGCTTATTAGCAGGTAAATAATTTATTCTATCCAATATTGTGTAAAGATAAATAATTTACGTATTACTAAAAATAATTATTATTTTCAGCTGTGGAGGTTTAATTTTAGAGTTAATGGTATCTCGTTTTGAAAATCTAACTGTGTTCCAGCCTGTAATTAATGGAGTGGGTGGTAATTTAGTAGCCGTACAAGCAAGTAGAATATCAACTGCTCTCCATAAACAAGCAGAGCTTGGTACTTTATTGATTCCACCTGGTTGTAGTCATCCAGTAATTTTCATCACTCCAATAGCTAATTTCTTTGGTAAAGGACATCATGCAAGAACGACACGTGTTCTGATGACAATGGTAATTCCCGGCCATTTAATTTTTATCTATATGATAAAGTATATGAAAGACGGTGATACAGCGTTAACACCGCTCTTTGTGTTTGTTTATCTGTGTGCGGCAATGCTCCAAGTAGCAGCATTGTTGTATATTGCCTATATTATGATACATTGGATGTGGAAGAGAAAAATTGATCCTGACAATTCGGCTATACCTTATCTAACAGCGATGGGTGATCTTTTGGGTATCAGTCTACTTGCCATAGCTTTCCAATTTTTATATCTCGTTGGAGATCAAGACTACGATGATGCCATAAAGCCTTAAATGATACAACTCCGAATTGATTTTTTTTTACTCCAAATAATAAGAAAACTGGTGAATGATAATGAAAGATGAGATTAAAAGACTTTTAGGTCTTTTAAGAAAATAGGTAAATTCAAATTGAGATTAAGTTCATGGTCAATTGATTCACGACAATAGGATTTGATAATGAAATAGGTAATTTAATTCTAATTCTAATATTGAATAAAATGAAACATGGTACAGTTTGTATTGGATATTGATTAATCATATTATAAAATAACAAAGTTCAAAAACTACATTCGACTGAACGAACTATCAATAAAACTTCAAATCTTGAATGAGCTCGAATCAGACCATTAGATATAACAAAAAAATTTTAAATAAATAGACGAAGCATATAGCTTTGAGTAGTTGCCTTTATGAATACAAAACTTATGTAACAAAAAGGCCTTCTTGTTGTTTGTCTTTTGTCGAAGCTTAGATTTGTGTGTGTTTTAGAATGAATATTCTTAGTCAATAATAATTAATGTATGTTTGAATTGATAATTGATTAATTATGAAATCTTGCTCTTATGGATCTGATTCGCAAAGGAACAAGATACAAGAGGAGGAATATGCTTCTAGAAACAAGTGTCAAATAATCTTTAAAAAATAGTTACGATCGAAAGTATCTGAAAGATTATTGTTTTACTTATCAAAGTGAGGAATATGCAAATATTATTTTTAACTATTGAATAATTAATTTTTAAATGTTTATTTGTAATTTTTTTATCAGACCGTCAACTACTTTTATGATAATTATATTCATTAGTTGTATTGATTATTTTTTTAAAATACTCATATTGATTTAATAGCAATGAAAATGTTCGGTTACTTTCGACCATATCATTTATTTTATTGTTACTATAATATTTAATTAATTAATCAAAAAATTGTTAATACCGTGAGGTATACGAGTAATGCAGGGACGGCACTCAGGCAGTCTAGTATTATTAAAGATGTTCATTTGCTTCATTTCCAAAGCATGCGATGAAATAATTAATATATTCTTCTATCATACGACGAATCTCGAAACAGAAAATTCCGAGTTCGAAAGAATAAATCGTGTAGATATTATTTTAAGATTGCAAATTTGTTATAAATACAATGTAAATATTATAAATATATAAGTCTTAGTAAGCTAGACTTCTTAGAGGACTAATATTTAGTCCTTGAGAATGCGGAAAAGATTATTGAAGTTGGTGTATGAGTCCCCGGTGTTAATGAATGATAAATAAATGAACCTACAGTATTATTGTGTGGTTTTGCTTTATAAAATTTTATGTGCAAGATAGTCATACATTTTTTGATAAATTAAAAAAAATATAATAAATGAAATAATGGAATATACATTGAAATCAAAATATTTTAATAGGTAAAAACATTAAATAAATAAATAATATTATTATATAAAATGCAAATAAATTAACCAACTAAACCTTTTATTTCTATCTTAATTATTTCACTTAGATGTGAAACATTGCTGTAATTAATATTGCCGGGCGCTCGTTTGAAATGTGCGATCTACAAAGTTATTATTTTTCGATAGATCAATTGTTAAATACTTTTGATAAATGTAAAAATAGTTGTAAAGCTGTACAGAATAAATAAATAATTAATTTTATTCTCTGTTTATCTCTTATATATTTCAACTAATATATCTATTTCCGAGTTTAAAAATTATAAATAAATTTTAATCAAAAAAAAAGTGTATCAAAAATGTGTGCAATAACAGAAATAAGAATTTAATAATTAGTTATATTCAATCATAAAGTAATTTTAATGATTAGAGATATAAATAGACAACGAAGTACAAAAATATTAATCGGAGTAATTGAAAAGTATAATAAATGTATGAATCTTAGTGATGAGAAAATCATGTTGATTTTCGGATGCACAGAATCTTGAACTTTTTAAACTTAGTCGATTGTTCAATATTATATATGTTGAGTTTTGTCTATTTATGATTTTTCATTCATAAAACGCATATATTACATTTTTATACAATTAACTTATACATACGGCAGTTAAATGATACATTATACATTTACTTATCAAATGCATGTTACTTTAATTTATTCGCAATTTATTCATAGCGAGTGATATTTTTGAGATTTCATTGGAGTTTCGCTTCCTCTTTTACCTTCCAGTGGATTAATTCCATACAGGCTATGGCATCTTCACTACTATCATGTCCTCCAACTATGAGTTAAAAAAATTTTTTCGCAATTAAATAACTATTTATTCACAATTTATTATTGGAAATTTATCTAGAACTTATTCTCACCTTCATTTTGGATTATCTTACGAAGATATTCAGAGCATAAATTTTTTAAAGCACGCTTGTGAGGAAAACCATTTTTGTGTGGAAATACATTGGTGGTATCTACAACAGTATTGTGAATAAGCTTTAAAGCTTTAAAATCACTCTCTAAACTGTGTCCAATTAATATTGTATTCTCTGAAAACATTGTAAGTAGTGTTGCTTGAACATCAAGAAGAGTTGTTTTTACTCCTTCTAAATCTCCTTCAGTTATTCCTGAAAATCTATAGTGCAAAATTTTCCACATTAGCAAAGATAAGAATCCTTTATTTTAATAAGAATAAAATATTCTTGCCTTGTATTATAATCAATAATAGTGTTTTCCGGTTTAACAAGAGTTTCGTAAATGACTTTGCAATCTTCGTCTATGACAGTTACTCTAGTTAATTCTAGGCCTTGGGTAGTATACGACATCTCACAGTCAAGAGCAAATACTCCTTGTTGCTCTGGTGTAATATCTGAATATTAATAAAATCATTGTAAATAAAATTTTTATAATAGATAATTTAAGTTAAAAAACGTCAAAGATACCTCTTGGTAATGTTTTTACATAACCGCGAAGATTTTCTATGTCGACATAGTCCCAAACATGATTTTTTGCATCAGCACAACCTGTTGCTGATCCGTATTGTTGACAACAGCTGTATTTTTGTTCACCTCTAAATGTGAATTTACGGCCCCAATGGTAAATACAATTCTGTTGATCCACTGCAACTCCATGTTTGTTGACCATGTAGGATTGGCCGCATCGAGTACAAATTCTTTCGTTAGGCACTTTGGATAATCTCGATTGATTACGTTGACAAACTGTATATATTTTTGCCCGTCCCTGTTGAAAGAAGTTAAAAAAAAAATTATTAATATTGAGTAGTTAAATAAAAAATTCTTCAACTTAATATTATAAATGCATATCACCTTTGGACCATCTGGATGAGGTCGAGGATATCCGTTGTCTCTAAGTTGTTGCTCAGTCAAGATCCACTTTTTGAGCATATTATACAAAGCAGTACCTTTAAAATCTGCAGTAACTTTTTTAGATTTCACTACACTCCAAGAACCCTTAGTCTTTCCAGTGAGTACTACATCATGAGAAATGACTCCACTTCCTGATGGAAGAGAATCATTACTACTCCCTTGGTCTACTTCTTTCCTCAGTCTATGAGCGGCCAACATACATGAATTTTTATAAACTGTTAAAGCTTTACAACGTTCATGACAAGCCAACTCTTCACGTAATGCTCTCTCTGCCGCGTCGTCACTACTTGTATAAATTTGTATACATATGTCATGCATAAGGTTCACATAATACTGACGAACGTTCATAGGAAATTTTTGGGTCGCGACTTGAAGTGGTTCCGGACGCACAAGTTGTGGTACCTGTAAAGATGTTGAAATGTTTTTATGCTTACTGTACAAAACATTTAATCAAATTGACACCATTATGACAATTAAATGCTTTTATAACAAAATTGAATAATAAAATTCTTTGATTACGTTAATCACACATTTTATACATATTAATCATTTAAAAAATTTATTAAAAGTAATATCACTAAATATTTGAAATTGTTGATAATAAAATTAATTGACGTACAGTTTATTATATTGTTTTAATAAAAATTTTTTTTTATTTATCTTTTAATTGATTTGATAGTTTGCATAACTTACAGCTTGAGGAACGTGAGCTACACGCGGACCGCTTTTGGTAGTTTGTGCTATAGTCTTTGGTTCTGGAACTTTGGCTACAGCTTCCATGACTTTCTTTTTAGCAATTTCCAATGATTTTGCATAAGGTACAGGCGCTATTCTTATTCGACCTGAAAATTTATCAAGTAAGTTGTTAGAAATGTTATTCTTATATTTCATATAAATAAAAGTAAGTAAATTTTCTTTTACCATTTCCATTAATTTGAGACTTTAAGTCTCTTGATGAGGTTTGATTTAACTCTCCAACACAGGATTGATCTACTTCTTTATCAGCTCTTGTGGATAGTCTTGATGAAGTGACACCAATAGTTTTTTCTGCTGTAGCTTGACGCATTAATCTCCATCGCTCATACATACGTTGTTGAGGATTCGGAAGCTTTTTGAAAGGCTGAGAGGGTCCCAGTGTTCTTACAACTGAAGTGGCTGCTAAAGGATGAGCTACTCTTTTTTTCCCAACTTCTTCTACTTCTTCAGTTTCAGGTTTTACTGTTTCACTTTTAGTCGTTACACCTTTTGGATGATCTGAAACTTGATATTCCTGGAATTGAAAATATCAAATTTAATGCCCACTATTTTTCGTCGCACATAAAGGATTTAACCAATCAATATTAATACTTCTCTACATTAGAAAAATAATTCAATATTTAAAACTATTAAAATGTTAACAGTGAAATGAATAAATGTTACCTGAAATATCTTTAGGCACTCTTCTTCAACATCGTGTTCAGAGTCTGATGTCTCTAAGAGTTCATCTTCATTAATAAAACCATGTTCAAATCCACTATTTGACCTATCATCGTGATCAGAATCTTCAAGTGCTGTTTTTTTGGTTTCACCTGATGCATGGCTTGAATGTGAATGATCTTTGTCAACATTTTTGCTTGACGACTTTTTTTTATCTGACTTAGAAGACCTGGAAGACTCATGTTTTTCATGTTTACTAGACTTATGATGATGAGACCTATCATTTTCTTTTGAGCTTGAGCTTTTATCCCGATGCGATCGTGATTTATCTCTACTTTTTGATGATGAACTGTGTCTACTACTTTCATGATGATGACTTTTATGACTTTTACTTGAAGATCGTGACCTGTCGCTAGATTTTGAGCTTTTTCGATGACTATCATCCTTTTTACTGTGATCATTTTTTTCTTTATCACGACTCCTATGTCTACTACTATGACTACTACTACTACTTCTACGACTACCGTGTTCTTTTTTAGTTTTATCATGTTTTGACTTATCTTCTTCACTAATCTCTTCTTTATTAACACTTGTTTCCCTAAGTAAATCTGTTTTCACGTTTTCACTATCTTTCTCACATTTTTCACTCTTATTTTCTTCTTGTACTTGTATATCTTCACTAGCTTTATCATTAAAGTTTTGTACTTCTTTGGTTGAATTCGTGACTCCGTCATCTTCATCATCTGAAAATTTCGCTTCTATTTCATATAAATTCGTATTATCTTCAACACAGTCTGATTTAGAATCATCTGCGGTTATATTCTCTAATTCTTGAACTGATTTTAACGGGAGTTTGATTGCTTTAGGAACATATTCTTCACGTCTTTTTTTAACTTTTGGATAATAAGCTTCTTTCTTTTTTGAAGCATCTCCAGAATTGATACTTGGCTCATAAACATTTGATGCATCAAATTTGACAGTTGGAACATAACTGTCAATTGAAGTTTTATCGTTAGAATTACTTATAGTTGTAGGTTTATACGTCAATTCAGATTTAGTTTTTATTGATTCAGGTAAGGAGCTCAACCAAGGTTTTGCTGAATCATCAGATTTTCTTTTAACAGCTACTTTACTTTCCCTTGTTGGATTATACACAGGCACTGCTATATGACGTTTTTTTAATTCTGAAATGGGAGTGGGATTATAAACACAAGGAGGTTTTGATATCAATTGTGGAACACCAACATGTTTGCCAATAGTTGAAGACAATGTTGGTTTTAAACCTTCTACAACTTTTGAGACAATATTTTCTGATACTTCTTCTTTGTTTGAGACATTTTGGGTAGCAAGCACCTTGCTAACTGCTTCTGAGACAAGTTGTTGTATTATTTCAGAGTTTGTTGCAGATATCGAGGTGGAGGTTTCCCTTGTTTGATTCCTCTCTGTTGTTTGAAGGTTAGAATTAATTCCACCTGCACTTGCCGTTGAACTGGATCCATCATCTAACAACAATAGTACTAAAATTAATATTTTAGTATATTAAACAAAATTAATAGGCAATTAATAAATTTACTTATGATTTTACCTCGTCGTAAATGTTTGAAATGGCAATAAGGTCTTTCACAAGAGCCGTTGTCATAGAACGGACAAGAAATAGATTTAAAATAACCGGTCGATGGAAGCATAACTAGTTCATCTTACACTTATTCTATTTACACATGCCATTATGTGCGGAAAGAGTTTCTTAATTGTCAATATACGCGAATGATGAAGTCAGAGATAGTCACAGATATTTATTCGAAAGGTTACACAGGTTACGTTATATATTTTTAGGTTGACGCATCGGATGCCCATGTGTGGGTAGATATACACGCATATAGACACATAAGCAAAAGGAAGACTATCGATAAAATAGAACATTTTCTTAACCGATAAATTATCAATTGATGGTAAAACATCCAAATTCATTTTTAAATACCGAAAAATACAAAGGGTGTCCGGTTACTTATGGTGAAGCGAGATATATAATATGTAAAAAAAAAATAAAAACGAAGAGACCGCGATAGTATAAAATTACCATTTATTCGTTGTCTGGAGTGAATTTTGTTTATCAACACCTTGGACATTTGCATCATCATCTACGACAATCAACTAGAACTGCTATTTATGATATTATTATTGATGATATTCCAATAGATAGCAAAATACCTTTACAACAAATAATTAAATAATTATCTATCTCCCTATGGGTTTACAATCAGTGAGTTAAAGTCTCTATTTTTACATAAAAAATAAAAACGTTAGAATTTATCAATACCAACTTTTTCGATACATTACGGAAAAGTTTGGAAGATTTTCAAGACGTTCAGACTGTTAATCTAGGTAATAATCACTTTTAAAATCTTCCGATAAAAATTTCGATTTATTTTCCGAATGTCAAAAAATTATCTTTTCAGCAATCTATATGAATTAGATGATGACTTAGTGAAGCTGCAGTGTGAGGATAAAAAATACTATACACATATGTATAAAATTTCTATATTTATTAATTAATTATTAACTATCTAAATAATAACAACAATGTTTTAATTTTTACAATAAATTTTATTAAAAAAGATGTTTAGTGATTTTGTTTTCAACAAAATCGTTGTTGCTAAATCATTAGCCTCCGTATTAATAGTATTCTAACATTAAATAAAGCAACAATGCTCAATTTAACAAATGAAGTTCTTACAATACTTATATAAATTATCAAAAACAGTTAGAAGTTATTATCTCTTTAGTTTCTTTTCATTTTTTAGTGCAAATTACAAAAGGACTGTTTTGCATCCGACCATTCAAATAAATGTACGTGTATATATTTTTCTATATTTTATAACACACTATTACACAATAACAAGCGCTTCAGTTGCGATAGTCAATTGACTTGATATTTTATACAACAAATTACAACTTAGAACATAGTTTACATCCGGCTTAAATATACAATTAATTGTATAATGCTGATTATGTTTATTCATTTGAATCTATCTTTAATAATTCACTAATTCATTTCATAAATAGGAAAAAGGTACAAAAACTTTTTGTGCGCGATGTACGATTTTCGTTTCTCTTTTATAATGAGTAATTATCTATTTTTTTTTGTCTACTTATTGACTTTGTTCTTCCTTGTTATCCTCTTGAGTCATTGGTTGAGGTAGTTCAGCTTTTGCTGCTAAATTCAGGGTATGGATCCACCTATTCACATAAGAAATAAAAGAAATGTAAAATTTTAAACGTATCAAGCAATTTACTAATTAATTTTACCTTTCTTCATCTTCATGAGATGATGCTTGAAGGTAATAGCATTTTCGGGAGTGGTAAATTTTAAAAGATCCTTTCCTATCCTTTTGACTCAATGGATCTTCATCTGGAAGCTCTGCACCTTCAATCACTGTAAAACCCGGCATTGGCGTTGCAGTCAATGCTAAGTTTTCAGATTCTGATTTGAAAGTATAGAGTACAAAGTCTGAATGCAATGCAAACCATCGTCTAGTCCAAGGTTTACTTGCTTGAGTTTTCAACAGCAAATAGCCAGATAAGACACATGGAGCATTAGCGGATACTTGGAGTAAACTTGGAACAGGCCCCGACGGCGATGGAGATTTACTTAGAGGCTGAGTTAATGCAGCATGACAAAGTCTACATACTCGCATATTTTTGTTGTCTTCGAATAATAATTTTTGGTTCGAACATTTATTGCATACAACCTGGAACAATAAACAATGCGAATTTATATTGATCATTTTAAAATAACTCATTAAAAAATAATTTCCATAACTATAATTTTTTAAGTATTAATGATGTTAGTGACTTATTTACAGACAAACTTGAACGTACAGTTCTTAAAAATTTTATTGCAAATCGGTTTACTGACTGATAGAACGACGTTCAATGAGCCTTAAAGAAGGATAGGTGAATGATTATTTATGTAAATAGAATACTTACAATTCCACAAGCTCTACAATTATGTTTCCTCTTCATAACGGAAAAAATTGCCTCACAGACCATGCACTTGGTTACATCATCTGCTTTAACTAATGCGGTTTTCTCGTTTCCTGTTTTTAAGCTTGCTTTTCTTCTCATTATTTCTTGCATTGTTTGAAATAATGCATCTAACCAAGCAGCTTTCTCTGATGCTGAATGAGTATACAGTTCTACGTTTTTATTTGAGTCTCTTAGATAGAAGGTATTCGCTGTTTCCAAGTTATCTCCTTCAATTACTTCGAGATTCTCAATCAAAAATTTGGCTCTCAGTCGATATAAAGGTCCAGGAATCAGTCTTATAGAGCATAGTAATAAAATATCGCTAAACTGTAAAAAATTAATGAGATAAATAATGAATTTATCAATTAAAAATAAATTATGGAATAGCTTTAAGTGAAATAAAATAATTAAACTTACTAAAAATAAATGCCTATCTTGATGATCACCACTTCGTGCCGAGATTTTAACAATACGACCTTCTTTAATAAGCTCTCGCGTTGCACTGACTAGATCTAATGGATCATAAATATTCTCTTGAATTTCTAACAATTTTTTAAACTTTGCTATCTTCTTCATCTCTTCATTGCTATGATTCGCTGCTGTTGATACTAATTCTAAAGCCTCTAAAAATAAAAATAATACATTAATGTAATTAGAATAAAGTATTATCTTTTTCGAAATCATTAGTATCAGCTATTTCTTACTTTTTGTGTCTTCAAAATCTACATTATCTTCTGTTAAATTCTTTAAATAATCTTTTAATAATAATTCATATCTAGGTAGCCTCTGTATAGGACTTAGCATGTGATGAGAGAGTGAAAGTTTGGCACACTCTTCGAGCTTCTGAATCTCATTAACAATGGCAGCAAATCTAGGTACTTTTTGTTGAAGTGTAGAAAGTAAATTCATAGCATAATCAAAATTTTTTACATATTCTGTATACATTTTTAAAAAAGGTGCAAAATTCTTCATAATATCACCAATTTTTGGATTTACATCCCATGTCTTCATTCTCTCTTCTAATTGTGGTAGCAAAAAATCATGATGAAATTTATAAATCGATTTTATATTAGAAAACATGTGTTGAACTGTTTCAGGAGGGAACATTGGATGTGCTCTGTTCTCTTGATCAACTCTAAATTGAAATACTTGATCTATTAAATGTAAAATATTTACATAAGTCTTTTCAGTTGCTAGTAATTCTTCAGCTACTCTTTTGGCTTTTTTTCTTTTTGAATCTACTGGGTCTTTGAATATCGTTGTTTTCTGTTCGGACGGTGATTTATCTTGTTGATCTTCAGACGCTATCGTAAATTCTGTTTCTAAAGAACGTGTTTCTTCAGACTCTTCTTCACTTTCTGATTCGCTCACAGCATAAGACTCTACTGTATACTGATTAGAACTTCTCTTCGTTGTTACGTATCTGAAATCGATTGAAAGTTATTATAAATAAATTGAAATCCTTGACTGATGTACTTAATAATAGATTGAACATGAACACATGTTGAACCTGATGATAAAAAGCAAATGGTTTGGCTTAAAGTATAGATAAGCTATTAATACAAACTACGTACGTTAGATATTCAATTCATTATTAAATTAAAACACAAATTGAATGTATTCTAATGTTTACAATCATTTTGAAATGTATTGAAAATAATTAAGTATCATTAATTCAACATTGTCATATAGCATTATCATTTTTTATTTCAAGATAGATAAATGTAAACCAATGTGTCATGTGCTAACTTTTACAGCTCATAAGATATTGACACTTGTGATGCAACATAATCATAATAATAGATAATTTCTAGCTTTTATTTTTTTATTGGATAAGTAAAATGTTCTCAAGGTTGTACCATTGTTCTGGAACAACAGTTAACCTAAAAGTTTGTTATTATTCAAATAATTAATCTATTTTCATGAGAATTTATTTAACTGGATCTGATAGATGAATCAGTAAAAAGTTTTATGTATTAAAAATAATGAAATATAATACCTGCTGCTCCTATATTCCAAAACACTATGACTCATTTGGACAATTGACGTTGTTTCTTCTGTTCTGCTAATAGTAGTACACTCATTAGGGCTTGAAGTAGACATAACAAATGATTGGAATCTTGGAAAACCACCAAAACTTGCAATTCTATGAAAGGAATGACTTGTAAATTGCTGTTGTTGATCTTCGATTCCTGTAACAGAATCAGAGTCTTGTGAATTTCCATCTTCACTAGCAGCGCTTTGTCTTTCTGATGAATCTCTTGAATTAGTTTTTGGTGATTCTTGGGCTATAGATGTTGATGATGTAGTGTTTGATGTTGAATCTTCATTTTCAGTTACTTCTAGATCAGTGTAAAATTTGCTGGTTGATGTAGAAGACTTGGAATTGAACATTTTTAATGTATCAGCCTTGGTAAAGTTGTCGAATGGCTCTGGCAGCAACCGAGCCATCCAGGACGAGATGTCCTTCAACTGGCCTCGCTGCATTCTAAAAATTTATTAGATAGACTTTAGTAATTTTCTTATGAATAGAATAACATCGATGATAATAAATAATAAACACTGGATTGATGGAAACTACACTTTCTTGAATATTTCAGAAAATTGAATCAATTAAATGACCTTATATGTTATTTACAAAATGTCAGAATATAAAATTTATTTAAAAATAAATATTATATGTACATTCTGTACAATTATGCAATTGTAGATATTTGTAAAGTTACATCAATCCAAAGAAAAAATAAATAAATAATTCTTACACAATAAAAAAATGGAGAAACTATTTTACGATATTTTGTCGTGAAAAGAGAGGTTATTTCTCTCTATTAAACACTTAGTCACTTCAACCATGTTTGTTACAAAGATTTCTTAATTATTTAAACAATTACTCTGATTTTAAGGTTAGCAAATAGAAGTAAAACAATTATTATACCATGTAGGCGCGGCACTTGAGTTTAATAATACCAAGGTGTCAAAGATTATTAAGGTTTGACGTGACTGTTTTAACTACTCCATTAATACTAAACGTTGGAATCGGAGCAGTTACCTTTTCCGGTGATATTTAAAGTTGTATGACCGTACACTGATGACGTTTGAATGTACGTTATCGTTAACATAATTATTTTACAAGTTGAATAGCTTCGTCAACTTTGATTTCTCGTCTACTGACACCAATTGCTCCTATTCCAACACACCAAACTCATCTTTAATTTGCTTTACACTTAAACAACACACATTAGAGCTCATTCAGCTTTTTTAACACACATTTAATGTAATTATAAATTTTCTGAGCAATGCGACACCTGAAATCGAATTTGTAAAGTATGCGACTGCGCTTTGTTCTAATAATTTGTCTTTATTGTATGTCCTACGTCATATTGACAATTGTTGCTGAGTGATAAAAGTATGAGACATTCTTAGAATCAAAGATCAACACTATGTTATTACACATCTGACGTTTCTGATAACTTTGGATACTTAAAATACATCCCGAGCTTCACAAATGTCGCTGCTTGTAATGTTGCGTTGACTGGTATGGTCTAGTTTACATACATGACATTTTTCAGTCGACATTACTATATACAAACTGTTCTTTGAAGGATTTAAAAATATTTAAAGTGGGAATCTAGGGAGGGAGAATAGAAGTTGTTCAGCTACATATAACATATGCAAGTGTAAAAATACATCTGTGTATTCATGAGAATTGTACATTAGATGGATTCGATGATAACAGAGAATCATAAACAGCTTCTTCTTAATTACAACCTATTTAACATTACTCTAATACATGAATTATTAGCATGTTTTAATCATTTACATCTAAACGAGGTTACTTTGAACATTACTTAGTTATTTATGCAAAGAAAAAATTGTTTTCCTTATTAATTTATTCAGAGAAATCTTAAAATACTTTTTATTCGAATATTTCTTTCCTTTAATATAAAAAATGAAAAGATTCATTTAAATAAATAATTAAATTGAAACAAAAATATTATTTAATGAATTTTGATATCAATAGTTGTAGAAAATTATAAAGCAATACATTATTTTTATTAACTTTAATCAGTACGTATTTATTTTTATATTTTATGAATAATTTGTAACGTAGAAAAATCTTAATTTTGTAAGGTGATATAATAAAAAGCTATAAAAATATTATGTAGCTTTGTAATGATCATCAGTACGAGTAGTATATACATGTCCTTCAGACGATAGGAAGTCTAGAATTCCATCAACTTTGGATAGCAAAGGAGATGGTACTTTTTGTTTAAGCTCACTACGTTCAATACCAGCTTCAGAATCACTGTGTTGCTTTATAATTCGGTAAATGATCTTTTGTTCATTTGTCAACCCAAGACAAACATTATCATCATCATCGTCATTAGTACCTTGCTCTTCAATTCCTTCCATGGCATTAGAAGTGTGAGATTTCATAGCAATCATAGTAACTTCAAGAAGATGACTAAATATTTCAGAAAAATATTTAACTGGGGTTATTTTCATTACAAAAATATGAACTTTATCTCCTTGTTCTCTCACAGATCCATGGACTTTTGCATAAGACCCAATCTTGATATCATCTGGAGCTGTACTTTCAGCTTCTAGCCATTTAAATGCTGATATTGTACCTGTAATAATAAATGGTAAGAATAATATTCAATAAATGATGAAGAAGGATAGAAAATCATCGAGAACATACCAGTTTCATCTTCAAGTTCATATGCAATTTTGGTGGTAACCTCTGAAATTTCTTGGACAATACCAACCACACAAATGATGTTGATATTCGCTCCCCAGATGGTTTTTGATTTTCTTGTACATTTTTTTACATTTCCAATCATCATAGGGATGATATTTGCTCCTCTTCGAGCATCTTTAGTAGTTTTTTCTTGAGGAGCTGATGTAGAATAGCTCTCATCCATGAATCCACCTTCATTTTTTCCTGAATTCCACATTTTGATTAAAATATTATTAATCCGTTATTTGAAGATGAATAAATAACTTTGTTTCACAAGCTATGGGATGACAATTTATTTAACTGTTGTCAACTTAGTTTTTGTCTGATATCAGACAACTTATGTTCTAAATTATAACAACAATAATCAAACGTGCTCAGCTCTAATCTGCGCGGCAAAATAAAATGAAAACATCTATAGGATCTGCTCACATTAGACTTTAAACACTAGCGCTCGTAGTGGTAAGATTTCGGACTTTGTACCGCGAAAAATTCAACGTTTGAATTGATATAAAAATTGAGTATACAATATGAAATTTTTAATATATGTTTATTTATATCTATTAAACAAAGAAAATTTTTTATTATCTACAAATTGTATGCACTAAAGTGATTTATGATTAAAAAAAAAATAACAACAACCATATATTCTTGATGTTAAGTTATTTCAATTTATTGACACTATACACCATAATACATTAAGAATAATAATTTATCACAATATGATCGCAAAATTTTTTTTAGTACATCCTAATATTTTTTGATTAAATCAAATTGTCTTCAACATGTGACAACATTATTAAGTATCTCAATGTACATTTTTACACTCATAAATTACATGATTTAAAAAATGTAAATTTTTGAGTATTTTAAACTATAATTACTTCTAATCCATGTACGTAACATTAAGCACATTTTTTACATTTTTTTAGTATAAAATTAATACTTTCATTACCCTGTTAGGATTAATGATTTGATAATTCTTATCTTTGTTTATAAAAGTTGTTTGATTATTCACATTAACGAAAATACAATTTTAAAAAAAATCTATTACTTTAATATTATTTAGCTACGAAAGTAAAATTCATTATTCCTATCCTAATCTCTTTTTTTTTAATTTAAAAGCCTAGCAGTTATCATCTATAAAATAATAATTTAATTATGATGTAAGTAATATAAAAATTGGCTTTTTAAGCCCCTTTAATCACACCATAAGGGTGACCAATTTCTTTAAGGAACCAAAAGGCTCCACCAAGGAACATTGTTCCACTTAGATCACCCAATGCAGTCAAGTAGGGAATTGCTGAATTGTCCGGATCTATCTTGAACCTCCACATTGCATGGATGATTATGTGGGCAATATAGAGAAGTAAAATAATCTGTAAAAATAAGATAAAGTATCATTAGATATTGAATTGATTAATATTATTCAAATTTAACATATAGGACTAATGAAACTTACTTGTAAAAAGGCAACAAGAATATATGATAATATAAAGTAAACATGCAGTGTAGATTGCTGCTGTTCAATATAATCTGCTGCATATATAAAAACTATTTCACCAAGAACACCCATCACAATAAGTAGTCTTGCTGTTTTAGCAAAAGGCACTGAAAAAAGGTTTAATGATTATATTCAAGCTTTTTTCCAGAGCATGAAACATAACAGAATATTGAAATAATTCGTATTTACCTCCATTAACCAGAGCTTTCCACGGAGACACCCATATTTTTGTGTACGGTGGAAGAATACCCATAAGTGACGTTTGATGAAGAGTTGTAGAGATTCTTGATGCTTGAACTGACACGAGATTACCACCGATACCATTAATGATGGGTTGGAAGATAACGAATCCCGTAAGCACATCTACTGCCTCACTTAGAATTAATCCTCCCAAACTGTTATTTGAAAAAGTATTAATATTTTTTCATGATTATGGTAATGATTTTGTTCTACTTTTCGTTGAAATAGTAATTAATCTTTAACAAAAGTATCCGTAAGCGACTGATAATTATCATTGAAAAATTTTCTTTTAATAAAGTAGGTTTTACTCACCCACTAATGAATAGTGCTGATAGCACTGGTGTCCATCCAGAGGTCAGAACATTTCTCGTGTATTTATTCTTCAATACAATCCAAATCCAAATGGGTAAAATAAGTAGATAGCCGCAGATAATGACGTATAAAATCCAAGCTTCATCTTCTATTCGAGCGAATAGACTTGAAGCGATAATAGAGAGAACACTGACTGATACGACATCTCCAAATGAAGCTGCCAGAGGTGTGGCCAAGTTATCTGGGTTCATTTTCCATCGATATGTGATCATAATCACAATAATCATAACAAGATCTAAGTAGAATTAAAAAAATGATCAAACAACCAAATATTGATAGTAGCATTTGTAATTATAAATACTGATAGAAGTATAGTTCTATTAATCATCCAGAGAGATCAAAAGAGCTCATATAACATGTGTTATTTATATCTTACCGAGAATGAAACATGAACTTGTAGCTGTGCAGACACTTGATGCTGTCACGAGTAGGGCATGATTCCACTCGAAAACACTGTTCATTGCTGCATGAGCAGAAGTTGCGAAAATTGACACGATTATTGCTGCGACAATTGCTTGAATCTGCACGAGAGCTAGATTACCAATTATCATTTTTGTAATCTCTCTGCAGCCATGCATATTCCCTAGATTAGCTTGAGTACATAATCTGGATGCTAAACACATGTCTAAGTTGCCTTTCAAGCCAAGAAGAGATGGAACAAGGATGAATAGTTGTGATACTTTTTCGAAAACTTCCCATTTCTGAAAAAATTACATTTCTTGATATCATTGATGATATAATGATAGCATAAAATAAGCAAACCAATAAATGGGTGCATCATAAATAAAGTACACGAATCAAAACTAGTTAAATATAATTATCATTAAGTGGAGATTAATTAGGATAATTTAACATCAAATATCTTATATAAAAAATATTATCTTTTTTTAATCTTGAGATTCTATTAGTTTGTTGGTTTGTTTATTTAGAAGGTTAGTCATGTGAAGAATACTATGTAGCATTCAATTAAACTATGCGTGTGTTATAATCAGTTGAATTGAGTATAAAACTTTAATATGAAGTCAATTGAACTTTAAAAACAAGAGCAACATGTCAATAGTATGTGCAATAATTATTACTTATTTATCAATCAATACAAGTTATAAAATTACGTAATAACTTAGTTACCATCAGCTATATGAATTTGAACTTGATGAATTTACATTTTTTAATAAGAGTTTATCGCTCAAGATATCTTTCTAGATAAATTAGAGTGGTTTGAATGACTATCAGAATAAATTTATCACTTTGACTTTCTCGTTAACGATCGATCGATAATTTGACAGTTATAACTATTTTTAACATTTTTTTTTTTAAATTAAGTCTTCAACAGTATTATTGATTTGTTCTATATTTTATGAAATAAAGTAGAGTAAATTAATTACCTCAACTTTAGCTAAAACTAGACCAGCGCCAATGGTTCCAATTCCAGCGATAAAAAAAGGCACTGACACTTGTAATGCAGTATGATGCCACCTTTCGTCCAATATATTTCGTCTTCTTCTGTTTGAATTGCTCTCATTTGCTTCAGGATCAGGATCAGAATTGGCTGCTGATGAGATTGTCACTATGGAACTGCCACTTGATAGAGATTCATCACCTAAAAGTGGTGTTTTTATTGTTATTGTTGGCATTTTTTTTTATTTACACGACATTTAAACTGTTCGTTACCGTGAACAGAACTCAAGTTAATGCTCTTTGTGTTAAGAATGTGTTTGTCATCAATCTTAGACGGGGTTATCAATAAATGAGTAAAATATTCCGCACTTTTAGTATCATCATAATTTTTCCTACATTGTTTGTTTTTTTATTTTTCTTTGGTATTAATAATTTTGCAAAATGAAGACAACTGTTATATTAAGTTCATTACCTGTGGCTTTCTCAACCTTGAGTTGATCAGCAGGACGTCCTAATTTTTTTTGTCCATTGTTATCGACGTCGTTAAAAGCCAGGGTGAAAACACCGTTTGTATCCTTCTCAGACGACATCCCAATTCTTGGTATGATTATTGTATTTTTCAATGGAGCGCCGTCGATTTCATCAACGACATGCTCGATTTTTCTCATTTGTCCATCGTCTTCCGGTTTCGTGACGTCGACCAATTTAGGGTCGTTCGTCGAGTTCGGAACCCCGACCATGTCTGTAAAATATTTTCATTATTATTACATTTTTTTTTCTAATTCAATTTTTTTTTTATCTTCATATTGAAAACTTATTGTCATGAATATTTTATTTCCAACTCAATTTCTCTACGTTTATTAATACAGAAAAAAAAAATTCAACTTACGACTTTTAACTATTTCAATGACAGAGCAATTATTTTGTCAATCAGTAGAAAATCAATAGAAAAAAATAACCACGTCATTTATTTTTATCATTGTTATTACTTTCATTATATGATTATTTTATTAAATAATTTTTTAAATGGAAAAAAAAATAACTTTTTTTGAATTTTTTCTTCAAGTGTATCCATTTAACTGATTATTGAGGACATAGATAATGAATATTATAGATATTAAATTGTTGGAAAAAATTTAATTTATACCTAGGCCTGATAATTGGCAAGACAGCTCGACCTGGTGGATCTACCTGAGGAAACTTTGTCTCTGACCTTCCAATAGTCGCCAGACTGCGAGTGCTAGAATCATTATCATTTAAATAAAAATAATTTAATTTTGATTACTTTCGGATACAAATGATAAATACTTTTCCTTGATGATTCTTGGAATTACATTAAGTACGTTTACATTGACTACTAAATAGCCAACCTTAGTAAGCTAATAATGATTGTTATTACTGATAATATTGTAAACTTACCGAGGTTGATATTGATCACAGTTATTCCACAAATCAAAGGCAATAAGTGTCCTTCCTAGTGCAGGATCAACCTGAGTCAGGCTCACTTCTGATCGACCAATCCTTGCCAGCCTTGATCTGCTGAGTATGCTTTGTATAGAAAACACAAAAATCAACTTCTTGCCAATTTTTACCATCACAGTATGATACTTTTGTCTAATAAGCACGTTATTGTTCAAGTCGGTGTAAAGAACAAACTTAAACTAAATGAAATGTATAACGAATAGAAATGTAATGAGTAGAGCTTACTTAGTATGCTATTAGTAGTTGTTATCTAGCAGTAATCTGATAATGTGGTGACGCTTATTGGCCGAAATTTTTGATAAAAAAATGTCAGATATTGCTACTGACTTGATAATTTTTACTAGAAATTTTTTTTGATGATATTAAAATGATTTAAATAAATAATACTAAAGATTACAATAAATAATAATTTACTTTATTTTAGAAAATAGGAAAAAAAACTAGAATATCAAGTAACAAATAGTTGTTGACTAATTTTAGAAGGTCAGTTAGTGTTTATCTATTTTGAAGTTAGAAAAAAGTTAAGTAAAATTGTTTTAACACAAAACCCAACAATGTTTTATGTAAATAAATAACATCTCATTGTATGAAAAAAAGAAAAAATAAAATATATTGACAAAAATTTGTGGAATGTTGCCTATCAGTTTCTACAGAATCTTGATAATACACGATGAAAAAAAAAAATTGTGACTCGGTGTGTTATCAATTGTCAGGATTCTGATAGCAATGAATATATTTATTCAGGAAAAAGTACAAGTTATTGACAGGTGGGAGAATTGACTCTCTTCTTATCATTTTTATTGGATACCTTTGAAGTGATTAACTCATTTATCAATTAAATCGTATTTAATTTTTTTTACACAGCTAAAAATTATCATTATTATTTTTTTATTTAAAAAATTCATTTTTTAAGTAAATCTTTCTATAAAATAATTAATACTTATCAATTATTGATAATGAATATTTATAAATAATAATTAACAGAATATTTTTTCGTTATTAATTAAAATGTTTTATAATAAATGAAAAAAAAATTACACTTTAAAAATAAATAGGTGTAGGAAATACTTCATCAAGCGTTTTTAGACCTTCTAATCCTATTTTTAAGAAACATTCGACAGTAATTGAATGACGCTGAGAAAAAGAGTCACGTGTAAACGTTCCAGCTGATGCTAACGAATTGTCGGTGTCGTTGTCCAGACACGCGAAGGCAGAATGACTAGATTGTTCTGGCTATCTTTTGAAACTCTATAGCTAAGAATCAGCAAAAATATCGTCTTCAAGATATGAAGGGTCGAGACATGCGTTTGATAAAAATCTAGGCGCACTAATAAAACATTTTTATTTTATTTTTATAATTAATCACCACCTAACGATTTGAAATTCTATCCATATATAATTTAAATAAAACTGTATATATTAAGTTATGACAAGCTTTATACAATAGCTAAAATAATTTCACTATTTCTTTTTCATTGATAAAAGAACGATAAATATTTATCTTGGTCAACGTTTCACGGACTCGAACAGACTTTGAAGATTAACATGCATATCACAGGCAAATATATTGCGACCGTATGGTGAATTTGAATTGATAAAAAGTTTACTCTTGGACTTTGTGCAAGGGCACTAACGTCATGCAAATGTGATATATAAAAATTAATATTTTTTTTTATATATATATACATATATTGACAAATAAAATGCTTTAAATATTGAACAAAAAAAAAGGCATTTTAATTTAAAGATGTTGATTTTTTAAATTAATCTTATTGATGTTAATTAATCTTATCTATCATTGACTGTTGATGATTAATGTCTTGAAGAGAAGATGAATCGTTGAGCATGGATAAAAAGATCAATTGAATACTTACTCAGCTTGAGTTTTCAGCTGAAATAGCGCCAGGTTGTCGATGATTTCAGCAGTTGACAATGTTGAAGTAAAAAAAAAATTCCTTCTCTTGTAATAATGGGATTAAATTAGTAATAAAATAGGGATGATTTATTTGATACAGAAATAATAAAAATATCAATGATCGGAGCGAGAAAAAAGTCACACAATTGTCGGAAGAACATAAGAAAAAAATGCCCGGCAGTTTGACTAGAACTTTAATAGAGCGGCGAATGGACCGTTTGCCGCACGCGACCGCACTTGACTGATAAAAAATGGCTCGGTTCATTCTATGTGACTCCCCTGTTGAGCAAGAAAGATAGATAGAAAGAGTGAGAAAAGAAAACTCTCATGCACTAGGCGATACAATAAGGAGGCCGGGAAAACACGTGTGTTATCGTACTTGAGGAGCAAGAGGGAGAGATTCTATGATTATTGTTCACAGGATTTTATTATTTCACATTAAAAGTGATATTATTTAATAATGTTAACTAATTTTAACAATAATAAGACTTTAAAGTAAAGAATAAAAAAAAAGATGGTATGATTTAATTCTTTTAGAATGATTGAGTTTGATAACAAGGTGTGTAACTAATATTTCATCATTGTTTTTAAAAGTACTTGGATGTAATTTTCAATTTTACTATTGCGTGACAAATGTATCATTTCATATCATATGAAATAAGTGTTATGCTTCTTCCTTGATCTACTTGAAAATTTGTCCTTCATTATGTGTATTATTTGTCGTGGAGGCATGGGATTTTTATTTTTTATTTTTTTTTATATTTATTAAGAAATTGCATGACTTAAACTCCATAGTCGGTGAGTTAATAATAATCGATTTTATAGAGATTATTTACTTAAAATTTGATTGGCTGATGGATTAAAATGCTCGTACACGTGCAGAACAAGTATGCTATTTCATCGAAATCCAAAACCACTAAATTCTTTGGAAATTGTGTACACGTGGAGTTTCTAATTTTTTTTATTGTTAGAGATCTTGCGAAATTTATTTTTGCAATAATTTTGAAAAATTAAGCCAATAAAAAATTGCAAAATATTTTTTAGCTTCATGTTTTTGGAGTGAAATTAAATAATTTGTAAACAAAATACAAATGTTATTGATGGAAATAAATTATTACAAATAAATATTTCACTCTAAGATAAATAAATATTTACATCTATTTTGATTTCAATATTTTTTAAAAATTTGAATAAAAATATTTGAACATGTTACAATAATATTTCAAACAATATAAGATTTTTTTTACTAACTTCAAATTATCCAGTCATTCTTAATAATTTCATATTGATTACATAATTTTGATTCTTTTATTTTTTTTTCTTCAAGTGTACTGTTCTAGTGTATACACAGACTGTGAGAAAAATATTTAAGAGTTTTAGATAAATATTTTATTAATTTCAAACCAAGTAAATATTGATTAAATTGTATGTTTGGATTAATTTAATTATTTAAATAATTTATTTAACCATTATTAAATCAATCTCTCTACTATTTACTTAATTTTAGGAAATTCAATTTCAATTCCAGGATGTAATTAAAATTATAAATAAAATTCCCATCAACATTAAAAAAAATCCTGTTGAGAATTTCAATCAATTCTATCATTGAACAATTTAAATATGTCCTAGAGCTATTATTTCAAGTCTTAGAATCAATAAAATATTATCTCGCAATCTACGTCATATGCAAAACAGCAACTGTTACCATTTTCCTTAACAAAGTCACCGGAAAAATTCTTTCCGCATATTTATATCCGTTAACATTTGCCCATGAAAGGAAAGATGGGTGAATGAATAAAAAAATAATTTGACAAGTCGTGTTAGACTAATTTTTTAAATGAGAAATAATAAAACAATTTCGTTTACATTATCGAATTTTAGTAGATGTATTAAATCATCACGTAATCGATTGAGTGTAACCATCGGTGAAAAAACAATGGAATAATTTATTAGTGCGAAAGCTGGCTTGGATGGTAAATGTTTATCGCGAATTATTTATCTGTGACAATGATCAAAAATTGCTAATCGATTGGGACGTCCCCGTGTGTCTCTGTTGGACTTTTTAAGGAGTCATTAATGTTCTAAATGTCATAAGAATTCGAGGCGTAAAACGTCTGATAGAGATACACTCATAAATATCTAGGAATTACAAAACTCTTTAGATATAACATACATAAGAATTGCTTAATAATAACAAACCATTTATTGTTTGTGTATAGATTACATTCACTCATAATAAATTGTCATTTAAATCATGCAAATATATGAATAAAATGCAATTGCGATAAATATGAGAGGTGACTCGGGTGAACGAACGTTTGAGGAAAAGAAATAAATTTTTAAAAACAAATAAATATTAAAAAAAATTTTTTTTTTCTCAATTGTTATTGAAATGATTGTTTAGATTTGAATACAGATAAAAAATGTTGTTTTTCATTTCTTCAAGTGTGTGTGTTGGGTGTTGCTCAGTAACGATTGAGTGAAGAGTAACATTGATTAAGCTTCTCTGATCTTGTGTAAGTCGGCGATTCAGTTAACTTAGTGGTTTAATATCAGGCTTCGGATACAATTTCTCAAGTTATGTACTTATATACTCACCTCGAAGTAAATCTGTGATAACTCATTTATTGCTACCAACGTCGGCAGTACTTCGCAATTGCCAGTCTGATTACTCGCGTTGTAAAATACTCGAGATTTATGATTAAATTAGAAAAGTATACATCTATTATTGATAACTCTTTCGAACACGTGTTAATTATTAAGCATAATTAAGTTACTTTATTGTTGCTTATGATAATATTCATTAAGGAAATTATTTATTTATTTTAATAAATTATTCAGTCTGTTGAGTGAAATAAATTTCTTAATCAATTTATTATGCAATTAATGTCATTCAGAAATGGAAAATTTCTTCATTAATAAAAAAATGATGATATTAATTAATATTTTTAGAAAATTATTTTTAAAAAAAACCTTGAAATATTTTTTATTGCTTTTTTGTCAGCCAGCTATGTATGATGCTCTTCAACAAGCGGAAATATATTATCTTTTAGACAATTCCATCGAATCTTGGTCACTATCAGATTGCAAATCTCAATGACAAGATGCGGAAATGTCGTGTAAATGTGGCGTTAATTATTACTAATTTTAAAGGAACTTAAGTGTAAGAGAAAAAAAATAATAAAATTGCATCTGATGGTATTTAAATGTCGCTACAAAAGAATGGTATTTTTAATTCCTGGATATTTATCCAAGAAACAATTACCGAGAATCAAATGTAACGTAAGAGTCAACATTAAAATGCCATTTTTATCCCAGCTAAAATTGTTCGAATGATTATATAATTTATCATCTAGTGATAATTATTTATTTCATCAATTTATCTTAATGACAATGAGATGTTATCAATTGGGTTATGTCAAGCTTTGTGACA